CGTTTACTACGCCTGGAAAAAGTGTCAAGTCTGTTGTCCTCAAGATTAAAACCAGTTTCTCATTTATTATGGCTATGAAATATTTGTCACTATTTGAGTGCATCTAAAAAGCCTTCTTACTGTGTGGGATTGCTGCCGAGGGTCTCAGGTGAAACGCTTAACGTGAATGCCTCATCTCATTGTTGAAAGTATTGACAACATTGTAGTTGGCATGAGAGGGCGAGAAAGGCATAAACCAACGCATGCGAGGGTGCGAAAATGTAATTTCTAAAAGGATTACCGAAAGCCTTAAAGCAAATCCTGGCGACAAGGGAGCCAAAGGAGCTGGTGACATGAAAAATGAATTGCAAGCCACGACAAAAAAGCGAGTTTTCATTTTCCAAACACACACACACACACACAATCGCACACGTGGAGTCATCGTCTCGCCGGCGTAAAAATATGTGAAAAATGAACGGAAATGCCGCAGCGGCAAAGCGGAAATGAAAAATGCACACACACACACACATGAACGCGAACACCCCGGAAAATGGCGGCTACCTCAGCGCTCGAAGAGCCAAAATCAGAAAGCAATGGAAAGCGGAAAAACAAGGGGCACTGGGAATGGAATGGCAAGGTCCCCCAAAACCGAAGGAAAGTCAGTCATTGAGAAAGTCAGACTCGGCGAGTACATTGTAATTAATGATGAGGCATAAAGCGCATAATCGAGATGCCGGGGTCGCTCGCACAGATGGATTTTCCATGTGAATACATAAATAGCACACCGGGGGAAAAACCAGGAAGTGACTTTAAGCTGCCGTCGGTTAAAACCTAACCGGTGTAGGAAAACCAAACCACTTGGGCAGCAACAAACCGCAAGCTCGATCAAGAACATCTTCCACTTAAGTCATTTTCAGGCATTTTCCGCATTCTGCTTAATTGAAAATCTATGTTCGCACAGAGTTTACGGCTAAACAAAGCCGATTACACTTATTTCACACCACAAACTTAATGGCAAGGTCAGAACCGGAGAACGGTAAGCATTCTAAATAATAAATTATACGCTTTATTACTTTATAATTGTATTGTTTGCTATTTTAGCGATTGCAAATTTAAAATCCACCAAACCAATCAATATGCTAAAATGGTGAGTCTAGGCTAGCGCACAGACCAAATTCCAATCAGAGCTTTACCTAAAATTTCGCATTTGCTGAATGGAAAGTTCAAATTAGGGAGGTTCGACTGTAGAAGGACGGGAAAGTGGCCAGGAAACTTGTTGAGAGCGAATCAGAAAACCCACACACACATACACTGATAGATACTCCAAAAGCCACTCGGTCAGGTGTTAAAACTAATTTACGACAATTTGGCCAACAAACAACAAAAGTTGCCCCGGGCAGAGCGCTCTTAGTTCTGAGTGCTCCGCATATTTCACACGATGCATGAAAAGGGTACGCAGAGCATCCTTTAGAGGGTGTAAAAGTGGGTGTTTCCTACCACTCCTACCACTCTTACCACTTCCCCACATTCGCCACTCGCCCACTGACCACAAAAGCATCGAAATCGAACAGAAGCCATGTCCGACCAGAACTCAAGGACAACTCGAGCCCAAGTCCAACCACAGCTTGATCCCAATTTGGCTGTGAATGTTGCTCACCGCTGACAATTTGCTCCGTGCTGCTAGATTCCAGATGGCCACAAATAGACTTTAATTCGTTTTTGCAGTTCCTGCTTTTTATTGAAGCAGAATGGATTTCCCTAGGCAAATTAATCGGGCTCACAGCCACAAAAGGAATAGCAAGCAGAAATGCAATTCATTCAACTCGATTCAGCCAAGTCATTCTTTGATAATTAGCATGTAATTAAAGCGAATACGCCCCCTGGTGGGGAAAAGGGGAGTTTGCTAATGATGATGGAGTTACATGCGCCATTTTCACGAAAAAATTCTGGAATAATCAGTTCTCGTTAGGCCGTAAAAATTTAAATCAATCTAGTTACCACTCCTTGCGAGTCATGGATACGTATTTCAAGGCATTAAGTTCAAATGAACTTCAGCCTAATTTACAGGAAACTAAAGACATTGCAGGTCAATAAAACTCTTTAACTACCTGCTCAGGGAGAACTCTAATCTTCAGTCCATGATTAACTCAAGAAATCTATCCGTACACCCAACTCCGTGTCCATCCATTCACCTGCTCTAATGAATTAGCAAGCCCCATTCAAACAGGGCGCAACAAAAAAACGGAGGGGAATAAGCCGGCAAAATGAGTGCGGCAAAATGGGGAGGGGAGGCAGAGGTAAATGGAAAGTCATTATGATACACATTTGGCCTAATGAGATTTTTTATGTTGATGCCAAAGGTTGTGGCGGAGGTGAGGGATGGCCACACGCAAGCGTCTTCCTAATTATTCACAATGAATGAATGAATGGAGAGGTGCGGGTGCACGAGAACATTTTGACACCTTTATGGCTCAATAAATTGGACCGAATGCAAGGAACTCCGGGCACGCCAGTTCATTAGAAACACACACGGGGATTTTGATATCGCCTCTGATTACGGCTAAGATGACGAGGCCACTCGTAGCTCAATCCCATGGCATAGTGCAGTGGGAAAAAAAACGTATGAATATGCATTCGAATTGCATATCATTTCATACAAAAATCTATTTATGCAGAACATTTTTGCTTAGTGTCTTTCTCTACACGGTGCAGCATACCTTTTTGCATTCATATTACAGAGCACATGCACATTTTGTTTTTGTGGCCTTCAACATTAAATGATTCTTATGCTTATTAATTATTCCTTACTTTCAGAGTTTATAAATATATAATGGGGCAAGCTTTTTTCATTGTGTATGCAAACTGGCAATGTGGGCACGTAAAGTTTACAGTTACCCAGGCACTGGACTCGTTAGTGCTCGGATACTATGTGTTATACTTGTAGTTGAAAGCGACGACCAGACGGAGGAGCTCCTGCCCCCGAGTTGAGTGGCCCTGGGTGGGGAGTCCTGGGATCCTTGAAGCCACCAATGCCGATGCTGATGGCAGCGCCGTCGACTGCTTATGAATAATGTTTTCATTTTCAGCCCGGCAAATTTGTCCTCGTCTATGGCACGCAATTGCATGTTAAGTGCATATGATTCCCGCACTATTTCCTCATTTCCACTTGGCCAAAACCCTCGCTCCTCAGTCAGCCTCGAGTAATACGCGAAAATTACTGGTTGTACTGTAAGAGGCACTTTTGCTTCCTTTTTTTTTTAATGACATCCCACAAACGCGACATGTTCCGTGGGTCTGGGTCCAAGTGATTAGCTCCGCAGGCCAGGACAAACATTAGAAACTGGCGTCATTTATATTAATTAATGTCGTCTGCATTGGGTTGCAGGCAGTACAACTTTCGAGATGACTTTTGAAACTTTGAACTAATAAGGTCTGAAAGTTGGTCGTTTTCCAAAGGCATTTCAAGAAAATTTGCTACGTCATTTTGGCGGTGATCAAGGTAGGGACATGCCTTCAATTTTATTATATATTTTCGGTAGAAAGAGTTCTTGTTTATAAGTGTTGAGATCAACTTGGGATCCGTTTGCATTAGACTAACAACGCATTTTCCTCTGACACGCGAGCCCCAAAGTATGCAACAGTTTCTGAGTGAGTGCGGCATTGAATTTTCACACAATCAAAAACCAGTTTGAACGCATCCGCTTCCGCTTTTGCATGGCGGTTTGCATTTTTGAGTTAAAAGCGTGCGCTTTTTTGCAATTTGATTTGTAGCCTAAACTCACAGCATTTTTGACACCAGTTGGTTGCGAAATTCCGCGACAGCAGTAGATTTTGTTGCAGCCAGGCATTTGACAGAATGAAAAACGCAAAACTATAAAAATGCATTCCCTGCGCGACCACATCAACTTCCAATTAAAGCGCAAGCTAGCCTGCTGCATGCTGCATTTAAAGTGCATTTTGAAAGCGGAACCTGCATTATGGATAAGATGCAGCCCAGCATAACGAAACTCTCGAGACTTTCGACGACATCAGCCGCAGATGACGACCTGAGGGCCATCCGCTGTTTAAAATGCTCTCGAGAACGACAAAGTTTCAGTTTCCACTGCGGCTGCACTTGCAAAAATAATTATGCATTTGCAAAAAGAGCACAGATATGGGTTCAGCTTAGTGGAAGCTCAAGCTATACTGGTATACCATTCATCTGACATGTAATTAGTATAGGCTGACCATTTAAATTTGAGGTCGGTGCACTTTTCCCTGTGTAGCTAGGCATTCACAGGCTTGTACCTAGACATCCTTTCTTCGCACGCGCCTCCGAGTCTTTCACTAAAAATAAGTGTTGAGCAAACATTCTGCGGGCATGGCAGCTCGCCTCTGCCACATCAGCATCATCTGCAGCATCTTTGTCCTCTCGAAACAGGGCCATGTTTGTCAAGCCATGAGCTGCGGAATTTCGCTGCAAGCAGGAATGCAGTGCAAGATGGCTAACACTCTGCCCAGATCCTTGCCCATTGGGTAGGTCATGTGGTGCCTGTTGATTTAGGCAGGAATTAAGTGTGCGAAAAGACATTGTAAATTAAGAAAGCCACTACTGGCCACTTTCGCTCATGTACCATGTATTTCAATTTATCCCTGGCTATGTATTACAATAGTATGTATTCAAAAACTTGCCTACAGTTTGAGAACTTCACCTAGGTTCACATAGGATCCTATGCACTGATCCTATATGATGTACAACATTTCTAGGCTCTAAATAGGTATACGTAATCCCCGAAAATCCCCGAATCACCTTTGAGAAAACTGGGCAAGGGAAACTTTTCTTCTGCATTACTTCACAAGCAATCTAGTAAATTGAAGAGAAACACTTGCAGAGGTGCATCGATTTCGTTTGGTTATTACATTAGCTAAATCGAGATGATACGATATTATTGGCAGACACAGCTCATTAGCTTCATGTGTCAGCAGATGTCTATTCAATTGCAACTTGTCGTGAATCGTGAACCGAACTTCAGTACTCCACCATGGCTGGCCTGGTAAAATTGTGCTTGAAAATGGCATATGCCTACGGACGGTTAACCGGCGTAATTAACTTCGAGATTGATTTGAAAACGGGTCGAACGCTAGTGACCAGAAGAGCTACGCTTTTCTCAGTCAGCACTCACTTGCTTATTTTTGCCCTGCTCGTCTACCATACACTGCGCAAAAGTGTGGTGACCGTCATGTGGAGGTACGCCAATTCGCTGCACGAATACGTGTTCCTGGTCATAGCAGGCTTTCGCATAGTTTGTGTATTTCTGGCCCTGGTCAGCCGATGGTCGCAACGCCACACATTCATGGGACTCTTCGACTCATTCTGGGGCCTGTATCAGAGAAATCCGGGCATAATCGACTACTGCCGAAGGAGCATCGTTAGCAAGAGCTGCTGCGTTGCAATCATAGAGACACTGCAAATCATAGCCACCTTGGCCATGATGCGGAATCGCCTAAACATCGCACTGGCTCTGCGCATTTGGGCCGTATTCAGTCTGACGGCCATACTAAATGTGATCATCTCGCAGTACTTCGTTGCCACCGCGTGTGTGCGAGGACGCTATATGCTCCTGAACAAGGATCTACAGGCGATTGTGAGCGAGTCGCAATCGCTGGTGCCCAGCGGAGGCGGCGTTTTTGTGACCAAGTGCTGCAGCCTGGCCGATCGCTTGGAAGGACTAGCCAAGTCCCAGTCTGAGCTGCAGAGGCTCATCGAAAACTTGGCAACGGCATACCAATGCGAAGTCGTCTGCTTGCTCATCACCTACTATCTGAACATGCTGGGCACCGTGTATCTGCTGTTCAGCTTTAGCAAGTATGGCAATTTTGGCAATCACTTGCCATTGCTCGTAGCGCTTTGTGCCATTGCCTACTTCTTCTTTTACATTCTCGACTGCTGGCTCAATACGTTTAACGTATATTACCTTCTGGATGCCCACAATAAGATGGTTAGGCTGCTCAGTGGACGGACATTGTTTCGGCCAGGATTGGATCACCGACTGGAAATGGCTGTAAGAGCTCGAAACTCACGTTAATAAGCGCCAATTTGAATTACTCGATATCCTTGCAGTTTGAAGACTTTGCTCTGAACCTGGTGCGCAATCCATTGAAACTTCGTATCTACGGCCTATTCGAGTTTGGCCGTGCATCATCGTTTGCTGTGGGTAACTCCCTATTAACGCATTCGCTGCTTCTCATACAGTACGACGTACAGCACTTCTAAAACCTAATATTAAGCCCGACTGTTCATACTTTTTAATAATGCCACCGTTGTAGCGTGCATTTAATTTCCTGTTCATACAATCAATCACTTAATAAGTATCCTGTCCCATAGGCCTAATCACCGTGCTCACCGCTGAGTCGTCCATTGTAATTCGATTTCAGTGGAGTACAATGGTTGACTTGGTGAAGACGATTTTGTTCATTGCCTACTGGTATGGTTTTGCCGTGGGAGTGTCCAACTTCGAGGTGGATCCACTAACGGGAGCAGCAAGTGCCACCCGAAGAACTACAATCTATGCAGCAGTGCACAATACAAGTCTAATCACTCTGCTAATTTGGTTCTGCCTGGGCAATAATTCGCTGATATCGGAGTTGGCAACCGCTCGATATCTGCATGAGTACTTCTTTTTGCTCATGACTGCGGTTCGAATCTCGGCAGTGCTGCTCTCACTGGTCACCAGATGGTATCAGCGCTGTCGATTCATCAGAATATGGAATCAGATACTAGCACTCGTTCGCGACAGACCTCAGGTGGTTCGTGGGCGCTGGTACCGCCGCAGCATTATCCTTAAATTTGTGTTCTGTGTCCTGTCAGACTCGCTGCACGCGATATCGGATGTGAGTGCGCAACGAAAGCGGATTACCGCTGACCTCATTGCCAAGTTGAGCCTACTGGCCACAGTGACCACCATCTTCAACATGATCGTGTGCCAGTACTACTTGGCCATGGTCCATGTAATTGGGCTCTACCAGATTCTGCTCCAGGATCTGCGATGCTTGGTCCGCGAGGCTGAATGCGCCTGCTGCATTCGCAATCGTCGCGGTGGAGTCTACTCCATTCAATGCTGCTCCTTGGCAGATCAACTGGACCTAATTGCCGAGAGGCATTATACTCTGAAGGACAGACTGAATGAGATGTCGGAGCTATTTCAGATACAGAGCTTAAGCATGAGCTTGGTGTACTTTTTCTCCACCATGGGCTCCATTTACTTTAGCGTCTGCTCGATTCTATACAGCTCAACAGGATTCGGCTCTACGTATTGGGGTCTTCTGCTGATTGTCTTGTCGACTGTCTCCTTCTATATGGATAGTTGGTTATCCGTAAACATTGGGTTCCACATTCGCGATCAGCAGGATGAACTAGTCCGCGTACTTTCAGATCGAACTCTATTCAGTCGAGAATTGGACAGCCGACTGGAGGCAGCCGTAAGTTCAGCAAAAGTGTCCTCTTCACAACTTTCCTCTAATCTGGCATTTTTCAGTTTGACAACTTCCAGCTGCAACTGGCCAGTAACCGCAATGAATTCTACGTAATGGGTCTCTTCAAAATGGAACGAAGTCGTTTAATCGCTATGCTAAGCTCAGTCATCGGCTACACTATGGTTCTTGTGCAGTGGGAAATTCAGAACAATGGATCCTAATTGAAAACCTTTTGAAGCATACGAGTTTCAATAAAGCACATCATAGTTATACCCGTTACTCGTAGAGTTAAGAGTATACTGATTCGTTGGAAAGTTTGTAACAGGCAGAAGGAAACGTTTCCGACCGTTTCCGACGTTATATATATTCTTGATCAGGATCAATAGCCGAGTCGATCTAACCATGTCCGTCTGTCCGTCCCTCTGTCCGTATAAAACATTAAGAATTAATTTAAAAAAAATTAAGAAATGTCCTACGACTGAAGTTCTAAACTCCATAACTCAACTTACCTTAATCGGATTTTGATGTGGCATACCTCTAAATGTTTCTGGAGCAACTCTCTAAAAATCTGCATTTAAATTTAAAAATTCATTTTTTAAAAAATTCTTTGTAAATTTTTTGATGTTATGATGTTGTGCAAATTCAAAAAAATAAGAAATGTCCTATGGCTGAAGTTCTAAGCTCCATAACTCAACTAATCTCAATCGGATTTTGACGTGGCATACCTGTAAATGTTTCTGCCGCAATTCTCTATAAGACTGCATTCAAATTTTGAAATTTAATTTTTTTTAATTTTTTTGTAATTTTTCTGATGTGGAAATTCATAAACATTAAAAAATGCCCCAAGGCTGAAGTTCTAAACTCCATAACTCAACTTATCTTAATCGGATTTTAATGTGGCATACCTCTAAATGTTTCTGCCGCAATTCTCTATAAAACTGCATTCAAATTTTGAAATTTATTTTTTTTAAATTTTTTTGTAATTTTTCTGATGTGGAAATTCATAAACATAAGAAATGCCCCAAGGCTGAAGTTCTAAACTCCATAACTCAACTTATCTTAATCGGATTTTAATGTGGCATACCTCTAAATGTATCTGCCGCAATTCTCTATAAAACTGCATTCAAATTTTGAAATTTATTTTTTTTTTAATTTTTTTGTAATTTTTCTGATGTGGAAATTCATAAACATTAAGAAATGTCCTATGGCTGAAGTTCTAAGCTCCATAACTCAACTAATCTCAATCGGATTTTGACGTGGCATACCTGTAAATGTTTCTGCCGCAATTCTCTATAAGACTGCATTCAAATTTTGAAATTTAATTTTTTTTAATTTTTTTGTAATTTTTCTGATGTGGAAATTCATAAACATTAAGAAATGCCCCAAGGCTGAAGTTCTACACTCCATAACTCAACTTATCTTAATCGGATTTTAATGTGGCATACCTCTAAATGTTTCTGCCGCAATTTTTCTGATGTGGAAATTCATAAACATTAAAAAATGCCCCAAGGCTGAAGTTCTAAACTCCATAACTCAACTTATCTTAATCGGATTTTAATGTGGCATACCTCTAAATGTTTCTGCCGCAATTCTCTATAAAACTGCATTCAAATTTTGAAATTTATTTTTTTTTAATTTTTTTGTAATTTTTCTGATGTGGAAATTCATAAACATTAAAAAATGCCCCAAGGCTGAAGTTCTAAACTCCATAACTCAACTTATCTTAATCGGATTTTAATGTGGCATACCTCTAAATGTTTCTGCCGCAATTCTCTATAAAACTGCATTCAAATTTTTAAATTTATTTTTTTTTGATTTTTTTGTAATTTTTCTGATGTGGAAATTCATAAACATTAAAAAATGCCCCAAGGCTGAAGTTCTAAACTCCATAACTCAACTTATCTTAATCGGATTTTAATGTGGCATACCTCTAAATGTATCTGCCGCAATTCTCTATAAAACTGCATTCAAATTTTGAAATTTATTTTTTTAAAATTTTTTTGTAATTTTTCTGATGTGGAAATTCATAAACATTAAAAAATGCCCCAAGGCTGAAGTTCTAAACTCCATAACTCAACTTATCTTAATCGGATTTTAATGTGGCATACCTCTAAATGTTTCTGCCGCAATTCTCTATAAAACTGCATTCAAATTTTGAAATTTATTTTTTTTTAATTTTTTTGTAATTTTTCTGATGTGGAAATTCATAAACATTAAAAAATGCCCCAAGGCTGAAGTTCTAAACTCCATAACTCAACTTATCTTAATCGGATTTTAATGTGGCATACCTCTAAATGTTTCTGCCGCAATTCTCTATAAGACTGCATTCAAATTTTGAAATTTATTTTTTTTTGATTTTTTTGTAATTTTTCTGGTGTGGAAATTCATAAACATTAAAAAATGCCCCAAGGCTGAAGTTCTAAACTCCATAACTCAACTTATCTTAATCGGATTTTAATGTGGCATACCTCTAAATGTTTCTGCCGCAATTCTCTATAAAACTGCATTCAAATTTTTAAATTTATTTTTTTTTTATTTTTTTGTAATTTTTCTGATGTGGAAATTCATAAACATTAAAAAATGCCCCAAGGCTGAAGTTCTAAACTCCATAACTCAACTTATCTTAATCGGATTTTAATGTGGCATACCTCTAAATGTATCTGCCGCAATTCTCTATAAAACTGCATTCAAATTTTGAAATTTATTTTTTTTTAATTTTTTTGTAATTTTTCTGATGTGGAAATACATAAACATTAAGAAATGTCCTATGGCTGAAGTTCTAAGCTCCATAACTCAACTAATCTCAATCGGATTTTGACGTGGCATACCTGTAAATGTTTCTGCCGCAATTCTCTATAAGACTGCATTCAAATTTTGAAATTTAATTTTTTTTAATTTTTTTGTAATTTTTCTGATGTGGAAATTCATAAACATTAAGAAATGCCCCAAGGCTGAAGTTCTACACTCCATAACTCAACTTATCTTAATCGGATTTTAATGTGGCATACCTCTAAATGTTTCTGCCGCAATTCTCTATAAAACTGCATTCAAATTTTGAAATGTATTTTTTTTTTATTTTTTTGTAATTTTTCTGATGTGGAAATTCATAAACATTAAAAAATGCCCCAAGGCTGAAGTTCTACACTCCATAACTCAACTTATCTTAATCGGATTTTAATGTGGCATACCTCTAAATGTTTCTGCCGCAATTCTCTATAAAACTGCATTCAAATTTTGAAATGTATTTTTTTTTTATTTTTTTGTAATTTTTCTGATGTGGAAATTCATAAACATTAAGAAATGCCCCAAGGCTGAAGTTCTAAACTCCATAACTCAACTTATCTTAATCGGATTTTAATGTGGCATACCTTTAAATGTATCTGCCGCAATTCTCTATAAAACTGCATTCAAATTTTGAAATTTATTTTTTTTTTATTTTTTTGTAATTTTTCTGATGTGGAAATTCATAAACATTAAAAAATGCCCCAAGGCTGAAGTTCTAAACTCCATAACTCAACTAATCTTAATCGGATTTTGACGTGGCATACCTCTAAATGTTTCTGCCGCACTTCTCTAGAAGACTGCATTCAAATTTTGAAATTTAATTTTTTTTAATTTTGTTGTAATTTTTCTGATATGGAAATTCATAAACATTAAGAAATGCCCCAAGGCTGAAGTTCTACACTCCATAACTCAACTTATCTTAATCGGATTTTAATGTGGCATACCTCTAAATGTTTCTGCCGCAATTCTCTATAAAACTGCATTCAAATTTTGAAATTTATTTTTTTTTAATTTTTTTGTAATTTTTCTGATGTGGAAATTCATAAACATTAAAAAATGCCCCAAGGCTGAAGTTCTAAACTCCATAACTCAACTTATCTTAATCGGATTTTAATGTGGCATACCTCTACATGTTTCTGCCGCAATTCTCTATAAAACTGCATTCAAATTTTGAAATTTATTTTTTTTAAATTTTTTTGTAATTTTTCTGATGTGGAAATTCATAAACATTAAGAAATGCCCCAAGGCTGAAGTTCTAAACTCCATAACTCAACTTATCTTAATCGGATTTTAATGTGGCATACCTCTAAATGTTTCTGCCGCAATTCTCTATAAAACTGCATTCAAATTTTGAAATTTATTTTTTTTTAATTTTTTTGTAATTTTTCTGATGTGGAAATTCATAAACATTAAAAAATGCCCCAAGGCTGAAGTTCTAAACTCCATAACTCAACTTATCTTAATCGGATTTTAATGTGGCATACCTCTAAATGTTTCTGCCGCAATTCTCTATAAGACTGCATTCAAATTTTGAAATTTATTTTTTTTTGATTTTTTTGTAATTTTTCTGGTGTGGAAATTCATAAACATTAAAAAATGCCCCAAGGCTGAAGTTCTAAACTCCATAACTCAACTTATCTTAATCGGATTTTAATGTGGCATACCTCTAAATGTTTCTGCCGCAATTCTCTATAAAACTGCATTCAAATTTTTAAATTTATTTTTTTTTTATTTTTTTGTAATTTTTCTGATGTGGAAATTCATAAACATTAAAAAATGCCCCAAGGCTGAAGTTCTAAACTCCATAACTCAACTTATCTTAATCGGATTTTAATGTGGCATACCTCTAAATGTATCTGCCGCAATTCTCTATAAAACTGCATTCAAATTTTGAAATTTATTTTTTTTTAATTTTTTTGTAATTTTTCTGATGTGGAAATACATAAACATTAAGAAATGTCCTATGGCTGAAGTTCTAAGCTCCATAACTCAACTAATCTCAATCGGATTTTGACGTGGCATACCTGTAAATGTTTCTGCCGCAATTCTCTATAAGACTGCATTCAAATTTTGAAATTTAATTTTTTTTAATTTTTTTGTAATTTTTCTGATGTGGAAATTCATAAACATTAAGAAATGCCCCAAGGCTGAAGTTCTACACTCCATAACTCAACTTATCTTAATCGGATTTTAATGTGGCATACCTCTAAATGTTTCTGCCGCAATTCTCTATAAAACTGCATTCAAATTTTGAAATGTATTTTTTTTTTATTTTTTTGTAATTTTTCTGATGTGGAAATTCATAAACATTAAAAAATGCCCCAAGGCTGAAGTTCTACACTCCATAACTCAACTTATCTTAATCGGATTTTAATGTGGCATACCTCTAAATGTTTCTGCCGCAATTCTCTATAAAACTGCATTCAAATTTTGAAATGTATTTTTTTTTTATTTTTTTGTAATTTTTCTGATGTGGAAATTCATAAACATTAAGAAATGCCCCAAGGCTGAAGTTCTAAACTCCATAACTCAACTTATCTTAATCGGATTTTAATGTGGCATACCTTTAAATGTATCTGCCGCAATTCTCTATAAAACTGCATTCAAATTTTGAAATTTATTTTTTTTTTATTTTTTTGTAATTTTTCTGATGTGGAAATTCATAAACATTAAAAAATGCCCCAAGGCTGAAGTTCTAAACTCCATAACTCAACTAATCTTAATCGGATTTTGACGTGGCATACCTCTAAATGTTTCTGCCGCACTTCTCTAGAAGACTGCATTCAAATTTTGAAATTTAATTTTTTTTAATTTTGTTGTAATTTTTCTGATATGGAAATTCATAAACATTAAGAAATGCCCCAAGGCTGAAGTTCTACACTCCATAACTCAACTTATCTTAATCGGATTTTAATGTGGCATACCTCTAAATGTTTCTGCCGCAATTCTCTATAAAACTGCATTCAAATTTTGAAATTTATTTTTTTTTAATTTTTTTGTAATTTTTCTGATGTGGAAATTCATAAACATTAAAAAATGCCCCAAGGCTGAAGTTCTAAACTCCATAACTCAACTTATCTTAATCGGATTTTAATGTGGCATACCTCTACATGTTTCTGCCGCAATTCTCTATAAAACTGCATTCAAATTTTGAAATTTATTTTTTTTAAATTTTTTTGTAATTTTTCTGATGTGGAAATTCATAAACATTAAGAAATGCCCCAAGGCTGAAGTTCTAAACTCCATAACTCAACTTATCTTAATCGGATTTTAATGTGGCATACCTTTAAATGTATCTGCCGCAATTCTCTATAAAACTGCATTCAAATTTTGAAATTTATTTTTTTTTGATTTTTTTGTAATTTTTCTGATGTGGAAATTCATAAACATTAAGAAATGCCCCAAGGCTGAAGTTCTAAACTCCATAACTCAACTTATCTTAATCGGATTTTAATGTGGCATACCTCTAAATGTATCTGCCGCAATTCTCTATAAAACTGCATTCAAATTTTGAAATTTATTTTTTTTTGATTTTTTTGTAATTTTTCTGATGATTCATAAACATTAAAAAATGCAAGGCTGAAGTTCTAAACTCCATAACTCAACTTATCTTAATCGGATTTTAATGTGGCATACCTCTAAATGTTTCTGCCGCAATTCTCTATAAGACTGCATTCAAATTTTGAAATTTATTTTTTTTTTATTTTTTTGTAATTTTTCTGATGTGGAAATTCATAAACATTAAAAAATGCCCCAAGGCTGAAGTTCTAAACTCCATAACTCAACTTATCTTTATCGGATTTTAATGTGGCATACCTCTAAATGTTTCTGCCCCAAATCTCTATAAAACTGCATTCAAATTTTGAAATTTAATTTTTTTAATTTTTTTTAATTTTTTTGTAATTTTTTCTGATGTGGAAATTCATAAACATTAAAAAATGCCCCAAGGCTGAAGTTCTAAACTCCATAACTCAACTTATCTTAATCGGATTTTGAAGTGGCATACCTCTAAATGTTTCTGGAGCAACTCTCTAAAAATCTGCATTTAAATTTAGAAAAAAATTTTTAAAAAATATTTTTGTAATTTTGCACTTCCACTAGCTGAGTAACGGGTATCTGATAGTCGGGGAACTCGACTATAGCATTTTATCCCGTTTTGGTTTTAAAACAATACTATAGATCACAATAGTTCAGGACCCTGGGGGAGCGTAGTTGGGGCGCAGAAAACCGATAATGACCGTTTCATGCACTGGCTGCAGAACAGAAGACAGTTGGCAATGGAAATTGCCTGGCCGGGATTCCTTTGTACTGTCAATTGGCAGGCATTTATAAACTTGGTCCTCGCTTCCGTCGGTGGAAAGTCGAAGGGAACTGCCGGCGACAGTGACAAATCCAGCGACAGCATCAATACTTTGCCGCAATTCGAGCAATATAAACGAGCTTCCATTCAATTTGCCCCTCGCCATCAGTTCGCTTAGCATAAGTCGCAATTTAATCCCGCACCGACATCCAACAACGGGCAATGACATTGCTCTGCCGGAGCATCCGGGTATTGCAATCGGATTCGGATCCGGATCCGGAATCGACATGGGCATGGGCATCGGGATGGGAGTCGACGGAGCTGGAACTCCGCCGCGCGGGCAGATAGAAAGATGGAAAGATAGACAGGCAGGCAGAACCGGAGACATTTTAGCATAATGCATTGCCACCGAGCCAGGACGAGGACTCCTCGTCGTTATCCTGGGACACACAGTGCGGCACTTGGAGCGGCTTGTTCGGTCTAACAATGCAACATATTTTAACATCAACAGGGTTTATCGATTGTGAAGGAATCAAGATGCCATGCTTCACAAACAGGATTTATTTGGTTGGTGCATGACTAGGAAAATAATATTATTCGTTTCATTTGGATAACAATTTGTATTGTACATACAAATAAATAGTAAAAGTCAAAAATTCTATTTAGCATCGATCAAACTGTCACCAAACAAACAATACAAAACGCAAACCCATAATGTCGCATATGTAAGTTACTCAATAATTTTTAAAAAGTTCCGAACCATTGAGATGCATCCTTTTCAGACTCGCATCCAAACTCGACTGCCAATGCGCCAGAAAAAACAGTCCAATGGATTCGGTGATAACGCCGATTACCCAGGAACTCAAATGTATGCAAAAACTGATCAAAAGGATCAGACACACTCAGATGGTCGACCTTATTCAACGGGAAACGGAGATGTACGATGCTGAGCTGAAGGCCCGGAATCTTTCTATTTGGCATGAAGCTGATCATCGACACTGCAAATGACCTTTCAGACAGCCAACACAGATCGTTAGATGTAACGATCTTCTTTTTAATGATATTTCATTTGAGCTAAAGTTTGCACCTTTTTCTAACTCACTTATATTTTTCCAAAACATTGCAATTAAAAAAAATGTATAAAGCAAATAAATGATGCCTAAGAGTCTAAAAAATTGTATTTTTGCAGGAATTTATGTAAGATTAAAATATGATAAGATGGTAATTCATGAAATATGAAAATATCTCCGGGCTCGCCTTTTCCAAAGATTCCAAAGAGCTCACAGAAAACTGAATTTCGCCACAGCTAACACAATTCCCGATGAACCATAACTTACTCGATATGCAAAGGAGCAGGGCGGCGAAGGCTTCTAAAATTCACAGGATATCCCACAGTGGCAGGAAAAAATGAGAATTAAATTGAATTTTCAAACGGCACGCACATAAATCCAAATGCCAAGGCGAACGAAAATGCAGCCGAAAAGGAGGAATTTGTAGTTTACTTTTCCCGCAGGCAACTGCGGCAGCAAAATGTTGCTCAAACATATCATAAATATTTGATTTTCGCTCATTTTTCCAAGGTCCCAGCGATTGCGACTCCGTCTGAGCGAAAATGTCTGACTCGGCACGGGGAAAATTGATAAGTTTTCAATGATTACGCCTGCAGATTGGTATAATTTGCGCGCAATTTCGCAGCAATTGGCAAATGTCACGCACGTGATAGTGGCTTCACGATTAGGTTAACAATGGTAGATGGAAGCTGAAAATCAACTAAAAGTTTGGCTTTAGTAAGGTTATTTCATACATAATCATTTTGACAATCCATTGCATATCTTAAGAAGAGATAATATACTAAAAAGATACTATTGCATACCCTTAGGCGCATATAGTGATTTTTACACCCAGTATTGTAAGCCAAATCATCGATAAGGATTGGTTACAATCGGAACTAGCTTATTAGTTGTCCATCCTCAAACTATCATCGCCAGAATAATTCTTTTCGCTTGTCATTGCTCTACGGATCAGAACTGCCTTCGACTCAGGAATTGACCTAAGTTTTCATATAAGGAACCAGAAGCCCATTGAAGAAAGATGACCAAGGGAACCACAAGTTTTGGCAAGCGCCACAACAAGTCGCACACAATCTGCCGCCGCTGTGGCAACTCGTCGTATCATCTGCAGAAGTCGAAGTGCGCCCAGTGCGGCTATCCCGCGGCCAAGACCCGATCCTTCAACTGGTCCCGGAAGGCCAAGGGTCGCAAGGCCCAGGGAACCGGAAGGATGCGGTACCTCAAGAATCTGCGCCGTCGTTTCCGCAATGGGTTGCGCGAAGGCGGCTCCTCGCAGAAAAGGGCCAACTAAGTGGGTAAATGGGGTCCTTGATAAGCCCAATAAAAGTCGACTGCACGCATTCCCTTAAGTTCTTGAAAGTGTTTTAATTATGCGATGAGGTTAGTAGCTTATAATCTGGCATGGAGTTTAGGACTGGTGCTCTGAAGGTTTCACGTAAGTAGTTGAAATTTATGTGGCTTTGCAATTTATGTGCTGTGTACTTTGCATGCTGGGTGCTTTACTATTTTGTGTTTGGTTTTCGGACTGCGAGAAATGCATTTTATGAATTTTTTATGGCCTTTAATGTGCACACACACCTGCCACCCGTCCCCTTTGCCTGCATGTGTGTGTGTGTGTGCAGAGAGGGACATAAAAAGAAAGAGACAGGCGAAGCAACACCTTTTATGTGTGTATGCCACATGGCACATAAAGCTCGTGGCGAAAATCTGCTCACGCCCCAGGACAGTATTTCATCCCGACCTGGCCTAATCCGTCGCCATGTGGATTTTGGCCGCAGAATCTTGGCATGATATATTCACCGGGATTGGCGCTGAAAAAGTTTCCACCTGATTTATCTCTTTGGCGCAGCATCGAAACTTAAAGCAGTCAAGTTCGGTGCGTGCAACAATTGCCCACGCCCACGTCCACGCCCACTCATTAATTTTTGGCCTGGACCAATGGAACACGTATGGATTCATTATTATGCAACGACTGAATTTTTAAAAATAATGATGTCTGCTGCCGCACTGTAGATGGCGCTATATTAATGCGACAGGAATGCATTGCAGATCTGAAGTGCAGTTCGAGTGGATTGACGGACAGGAAACCCAGGGAAGTGCAGTGGAACAAGCGAAAAGCCCATATTTCCAACCGAGGGTATTAATTTTCTCTTAGCCCGTAAAACGAGCAAGAAGGTCGTGCCCATTGCACTGAAACATCCTAGCTATGTGATATAGAACCATTTAAATAGGTTTTTATAGCACAGTATGTATGAAAAAGTATGCAGTTAACTGTTTTTAGATGCTAGATGCTAGTCTCTGCATCTTCTTCGAAACTTTATAAGCATTTGGATTTGGATAACACTTCATCTGGGCTGCAACTTTCCTATCAAGCCTGCGCCACATTTCACGAATCGCCTTCAACAATTTGTTTGAGCGAAATGCCATTTTGTTGATTGAACATTTTCAATCGGGATTTTTTGCTGCGCTTGTTGCTTTTCCATTATTTTTCTTCCCCTCGCTGTATAGTTGTCATTCAGTGAGCTGCAAAGTCAGCAGCATTTAAATTTCGCTCACGATTGTCTCCGGATGAGCAGTGCAGCGGATGAGCAGGCATGGAAGGAATATCGCGGATTGAAAATCAACGGATACGGAACGGATGCACGGGCACTCAGTCCTCTTGGTCCTCCGAGCCGGGGGATAACTCCTTCGCCTTCGCCTTCGCCTTCGCCTTCGCCTACTCCGTTTCCGTTTTGTTGCCGCTGCAGCTGTCAGTTGTTGGAAAAACTGTCACTGCAATCAGATGCAATTAGAGCTTCCGGTGCCCCATCGCGGAAAGGGGCGGGGCAGGGGAGTTGGCGTGGAAATGGGGCACACAAAACAGGGAAAGTGATTGAGAAAGTGGCAAACTCGTTAGCTAAGAGACTTGCATTCTTTCTTGGCAATGACTCCTTTAGCAGGTGTAAAAGTGGGCCTCGTACATTAATTAATTACAAAAGTGTAATCAACATTTTGGCCGTTTCTCCTCTGTTGGAAAAGAAATACCTCTTAAGACGGTTGTAAAATGTCCATTCCATTTAATGATCACAGCACAGTGGGTAGAATTGTACAATTCAACAGCATTTAAAAACCAAATACATGCACTACCACACATTTCTTTGTTCAAATAGTGCACTTTTCGCATTTGGAATAAAAGTACATTTTCATGAATTAGCCGGGATTGCGATAACCCGATAACCCGGCTTTGGGAAAACCACATTTTGTGGTATTTGTCGTGTTCTGCGGTTGGATTTGTTGATGCTGCTGCTCCTGCAAGCGGACATGGCATCAAAAATTGGAATTCCCGCGAATACGATGCGGACATGGACTATGGTGTTTGCAAAAACATTAATTAAAATTCTTGGATGGCAGAGGGGAAAAAACAATTGCGCCAGTCCATATTCCACACTATAATCCCTTCAATCTCAGCTGGATAAATATTAAATGAAGCAGCTCGGACAGCAGAGTCGACTTTGTTGCGGCTCAGCAAAAATGAAATGTTTGGCATAAAAAATGCATAAATTATGCAAACCATTTAAGGGGCAAACAAGAAGAAAAATCGAAAATGCCTCAACATTTTTGCCTCGGTCAAGGCTTTGAAAAATTGATGCTGGCCCCGAAAAGTCCGATGTGGACTGCTCCATCTCGCAGTGTGTGCGTCTAAATGGACATCTGAGCCGAAAGAAGGCCCAAAGTGAAAGTCTCTTAACAGGGCTTTTAAAACTGCTGCCGCCCACTTCGTCGTCCTGCTTGTTGGGGCCTATAAAATATTCATGCGTTTTATATACTATATGGGGGAGCGAAAGGGGAGCTTAAGTGACTTGGGTAAGTTGGCAGGCCTATGTCACAATAAAAGTCAGAAGGCTTTTCTGTGCCGTAATTAATGTAAATCCTCCTTTTACTTTTCTATGCCATACCCCTTTCAACAAAGCCACTGCAATTTGCTTGTGTTCAATTTTTGTTAGGTTTGATTCGTACACTTTTTGAACGCCTCTCAGACACGCAACTTGTATTTAATTGATTAATACCTATGTTTATACACAACACGCACTTACATAACTTAGTGTGCAAGCACTCATAAAAAAGTCCACAAGTATGCAGTAAAAATGCAATGTAGAATATTGTAATACCAATAATTGTTCACCAATACACCAGGTAGTATCCTGGCTTACCGCCAGAGGGCGCCTGTCATCCCTCCTCTCACTTTTTGCAGCCAGTAATTGATTTTCTGTTTACGCATAGCCCCAAATTCGGGGGCAGATGAAGGTGGGCGTGGTCGGGCAGCAAAGTTCCCGAGTCTGATGCTTCCGGTTACTTCTTGTTATTATATTTCATTGCCGCCAACTTTGTTGTGATGCCTGATTCCAACATGTCGTGAATAACCCAGCAACGCAGGTCAAAACCGGAAGGATTCAAGGCAAGGCTGGAGGATTTAATACCCAGTAAATGAGTTGCGAGTTAAGCTAGATGATCTAAGGTTTTCAATTTTAAAGTATAAGTTTCTATATGTCTAGTATAAATAACTTGAATTCAGCACGAGATATTTGGCGGCCTCCTAATCCGCAAAAAAGTTCAACAACGTTGTAAACGCGTTCTATGCAGCTTCAGTTCTGGATTAATCTTGTATAGCCGACTTTTCGCTCCAGTAATGGGTATGCGAGAAGTTTGCACTGCAACTTTTGCGATATTTCTGCTGGGCGGAAAGCAAGAGCGTGGATCCCTTCTGCAGAAGGGGCAGGAAGTCCGGCGGAGAGGAGGCACATGCCAACACTTGTTTTCTGTTAAGTGATTTAGGCCAAACTTTTGCACCCTCCCCTCGCTGTGTGCCACTCCGTGTTTGGCATTTTGGGCTTAGACGTAGACGAGGGGCGCCTGATGGGTTCCTGCCCCAATGTTGCAGGTCCTACTGTTGCGGTTCCGCCATGGCTCGGTTATTTTCTGAAGCATCGGAAATGTTTTGCAAAACTTTCGCGAAAGCGAATTCAACGAAAAGCGTTTAAATGCTTGCCGCATAATCGCCGTCAAGTGAATTTCATTTTCTTGACAAACAACATGAACTTCAAAGCAACTTGGCCAAATCCCCTCTTTTGAGTGGCTCAAAGGAAATTGAAATTGTTAAATGTGTGCGGGAAACTAGAAAAAAGTGCCAAACTGGTTTACAGACTGTCACACATTGATGTATTGCGCTTCTCATGTTCCGGGATTTGGGATGGATGACTCTGATATGCTTGAGTTGCCTAGATAATTACAATTGAAAAACGGATGATCCAGTGGATGATGTGTAACATTGTACACTCAAAGTAATCAGTTAAGTACGTAAATGTATTGTATAAACCGAACGCATAGTTTTGACATCGTAATCGACATTACCTGCGCATATTTATCCCGTCTGGATTGCACACGATATTCCACCGAATTCCCAGCGCGGCAACTGACAAGTTTAGTTACTTTGCTCCTATCTGACAGCATTAAAACTGTCTCCTCGAATTCTGACTTGCAAGAAGAATTTCCCGGCCAAAGTTTGTCTGGGTAACCATATTACATGGATAACGCCCCCAAAACACTAGCAACATCACCAGCAGAAGCAGAAGCAGAAGGAGCAGCAGCACGCGAGAAACGCTTCGTGACAAAGAATTCCAAGAGTTAAAAAATAAAATGAGGTAGAGAAAATAAAAATAAAATGAAAACAGAGGGAAGCCGCTGAAGACGAAGAAAATTGAGCTGGCGAAGAAAAACGATTGCGAGACATAGTAAAGCGTGGCAAGTAGGAAACTTTGAAGTTTTATTAAAAATACACACCGCAACATTCCTCAAGAACTTTCGCACACGAAAACGTGAGATAATTTACCAGAGGCGAGCCGGACGAGGCAGCTCCATTCGCTTGCAGGTGGAAATGTGGAGATGTGAAAATGTGGAAAAGTGGAAAAGCGCACCCGAAAACCGGCAGCGAAGTGTCAAGTAGTTGGATAAACTTTTGTGACAGCTCAATTTGGAAGGGAAAATGTGTGTAAGCTGGCACTCCAGCCAAGCTGCTCGTTTGGCCAACAGCAAAATATTAGAATATTAATAGCCAGCTTTGCAGGCACATCTAATGAGCGGAAGTCCTCTTTTCCCGCACACCCAAGGTCCAAAAAAGCCTTGACATGGGTCCTCAAAGTCGGAGGAGTCGGAAAAGCGGGGGACTTAACTCGCAAACTTCCGCCAACAAATCAGAAAATGAAGGCAGCCCATTACCTGTGCGCTAAGCTGTTTTATAAGCAGATATAGGCAAACTAGTCACTTAAACACTAGTCAAAGAAAATAAAACCATCTCCAAGGGCAAGATGTGATGTAATGTGAATAATTTCGCCTAGATGTCACGATTTACATAGTATTATTAGGTATGACCCAGATGCCGATACCAGTGGACAAGTCGTCCATACTCGAATAGCAACGTGCTGAACACATTGGCTGAGCACAATGTAAAACAATGGGGAAACACCTTCCAAGGTAAAGTTAAACACAGCTGCAGAACGCAAGGATCCACAAACATGCACTTAACTAACCAGTTCCGCCCAGCCTTCCGATTTCCATCGCTCCACTTTGCCGGGGAAATGAACAAGATGTTGTGGTTATGGAAATTAGCTCAGGAGGATGACAAACACTGGGCGTGCCGAGATTTATGCCCCGATGTTGCCCGAAACTACTTCAGATGCAACTGAACACATCCTGCGAAAACGGGAGCACCGATTCAGGACGACACACAACAAAGAAGACACATGGCCTGTGGTGACAGGCAGGATGATGTCAACCGGAGAGCGGACCCTCTGGCTAATTGGTATTTATTGCTGCTTAAATGCCCAAAACTTGTTGATACTTTTCACCTCGTATTTCAAGCACTCTTCCAGCAGCACTCGAAGCGAAGGCAACGCCCCCAAGATGGAGGCATCACCACCGCAGGAGGACCAGCAGCCAATCGCAGATAGCCGGGCTATAATTAGGCGCAGAATCGCTAGACTCTCGACGATCGCGGCCAGGCACATATGTACATATGTTCATGTGTTCATATGCTTGGGAGTCGATTCTTCGAGGGGTTGGGACGGCATGGGATCTCGCGGAGCACTCTTTCGATTTTGAGGCTAATTTCAGTGGGCACACGACTTTGGCACGGTTTAGTATCGTCGCGACAATTATCGTAATTAACTCGTTTATGTGTTGTGTGCTAATCCAATTACCAAGTTCGCACAGGATGCCCCCAATCGTGGCAGGCGAACATAACGCAAATTAATTCAATCAATCGGGCACATGAAGAGTTGAGTTTCAAATTGGAAAAAATCAAGACCGCCATCGCCCATCAGCTGGAAAATAGTACAGGTGCTAAGTAAAGAGTTCCACCTTCAGCTGAAAAGTCGCGACGGATTTCCCAAACATGCTAAACTACCAGCAGCAATTGCATTCGCTGCCCGTCGGCAATCCGGGAAATTTTTACTACGCTCCGACGGTTTCCGGCGAGATATATCCATCCCATCAGTCGCACAACCTTGAGGCCGAGGACAAACTGGACGATCGGGAGGAAAGTGGCAGGAGCCTGGACAAAATGCACAGATTCTCCGTTGATAACATCATGGAAATGAAGCACGACGCCTATTCCAAGGGAAAACTGGCCATGGAACTCAGCAGCAATTTCGGTGAGTGTAAATGCAACGACCTTAGGTTTTTAATCGAAATAAATATAAAGTTAGCCTTTCACTTCTTCGAGAGAAAGGCGAGGCCTTGGAATCAAAACCAAATAAATTAATTATTCTCGAATAAAATGAATAGATCAATTTTTGCATTTTTAAACTATTTTCTCCTTCAATGAAAAATAGCATGTCCGAAATGTAATTAATCTGGGTGGCGCACAGGCTCATTTAATTTTAAAAGCCTCTTAAATGGCATAGTTCACAGATGTCCTCAATTATGTGCAACAGAATACGTAATGCCACAGGAGTTTAGGTGCATCCGCATTTGCGAGCTGAAACTTTATGGGGCTTACTGCGCCTAATTCATAAATGATAAATTTCTGTGAGTTGCGGGCCAAGGAGAACTTATGACGTTATTCGCACAGCTGCTATATCTTCAGATATGCACAAATAGGTGCTACCATATATACAAGTACGGTGGGAGAATTTACTTGTACGAGCATATAAATGTGTGCGGGCTGTGGGGCAACTCATGGATGACAATTAGGTGCCAGATGTGGGCGACATTCGCTCATTTCACTGCTCCCAATGCCGGTGCAATGTCAGCTCCGTGCATTTTTCCTGTTGCGGTTGCGGCTTTAACCCCCCAAAGCCCCCAGGCGGCGCCTTAACCCACCGCGAGGATGCTGTCAACATATTGCTACTGGTTGTCAGCTCGGGCATAATTTGCAGCGAAATCCTTGCTGAAAACGAAGATCTAACCGAAAAACGCAGAGCACAGAAACTCTAGCAGTTCGTGTAAAGTTTTTCACCGTGCTTATATTTTTTGTAGCTGGTCGTTTTTTGGTTTTTTTGTGGCAGAGGAAACATTTCCGAGCCGACAACACTTCAACATTGTCAACATGACAAAACGTAATCAAAGCTGACATGATATTCCCTCAGTGGCCGCATGCCTTTGAAGCATCCGAGGCAGCGACTAGCTGCCACGACTATAATTTCCAAGTGGAGCATATAAAACGCCAGTCCCACTGTAACCAGTCCCAGACGCAGCACGCACTCCATTGCCTTCCTCCCCGTCCGCTCCTCGTTTATTTTCGTCGCTCCATTGGATTGTAACATGTGCCAGTTGCATCCGCGCACTGAAAGAAAATCAGTGTACCTGCCACTTAAAAAACTAATGCATCTGTGGCTCACCGCTTAAACGAGCATCATTACAAGCGATTTTTGTTAACTTTAAATATGAGCAGATTTAAGACCAAAAAAGGTACTCCCACTAAGAATATCAGCCAAAGACTTACTTGTTGTTAGTTGTAGTTTTGCTGGAGTTACCCAACCGCCCCCGATTTCTCGCAGTGCAACTGCTCAGTCATTCTTCACCCCTTGCCGTTGCCGCTGTAGAAATCTGATTGAGGTTTCCCTTTCGATTTGTTGGTTTTTTATTAAGCCGCAACTGTTTTTTATCGCTCGTTGGCAATTCAAATTAAAGATCTTCCCTTCACTCACTACCCCAAACTCCCGTCCAGTCCCCGGGGACATCAGTTGCCGATGCAGTTGCTCCCGTTTCCCACTTTTCCGATCTGATCTACGATGCAGTTCCCAAGTCCGTGGACAGCTCGGCTGACAAATTGAGACAAATGGCGTGGGTAGGAGGATATCTGATGTTCTGATGTTGATGGGTATACTCACGGCGATGGCCACCCTGAAATTCCAGCAAGCTGGCAGCAATTTATCGAAACAACTCTAAAAATTGAAACTCGCAGGAGAGTGCAATCTTCATTACATTCGCTGCAGCCATGCAAAATATAACCAGATGATTCTATCTAATGTGCTCATATAATGATTTCATTGGAAAGTTTAGTTTTTCCCTCCGGCTTTTAGCCGAAATGCCTAATTTTTCCAATTAGTTTGAAAATAGATACATTCAGGGGAAAAGATCTTAAGTCGTTTGTAAAACGGTTTCCAAGCCAATTCTATGGAAAATCAATTAATGGCAGCCAGAAGCAGGGAGCCGCTTATGACCGCTTAATGTCACAATTTCACTTTAATTAATAGATCGTAAATGCGCTAGCTCATGTTTGTTGGGCGACGAAATTAGTAGACAGCTGTCCGCCGATGTCGTCAAAAGATATTTTATGGCTCATGCCATTTGTTTATGGCCCTCGCCGCCCTCGCCGCCCCGCGCCAAAGTCCCCCCTTTCCGCTCCTTTGGGCGCCCAGCCGAAGGATCAAACGGAATGCAAAATTTTATGTGTTCACGACAAGCCATAAAAGTAAATTTCCTAGCTGGCTGCCAAATTAATTGATATCCGTTGGCTCTTATCGATTATTTACGAGCTGTTCCACCAGCCGCCCCTTGGTTTCCAGCCAGTGTCCGTCAAAAGGATTTTGCATTCGCCCCTCGGGAAAGTAAAAGTGAAAATTCCCAATTTAATGGCTCCCTGATTGCAGGCCCCACTGGCGCAGGATGCGGCGGCGGAGATCGGGCAGCTCCCTGCTCCGGAAATCTGGCGGCGGGTCCACCAGTGGGCCACCACTCGAGGAAGCCGCGCCGCAATCGCACCACCTTCAGCTCCGCCCAACTGACGGCCTTGGAGAAGGTGTTCGAACGCACCCACTATCCGGATGCCTTTGTTCGCGAGGAGCTGGCCACCAAGGTGCATCTCAGCGAGGCCAGAGTTCAGGTGCGTTTTAATTGCATTACTTTGGTAACTACTCGCAGGCTAAGGAGGGAAATATTAACCTTTAACATAATAGGGAGCAAATGCGTGATTGTGTTGCCGCTTCACTCCAGCAGCTATCTGTAAATCTAGTTAACAATAAGCTTTGTGCCAAATTACCTTATCAATTACTTGGACGCCCGTTTCAGGTCTGGTTTCAGAATCGGCGTGCCAAATTCCGGCGCAACGAGCGGAGCGTGGGCTCCAGGCCACTTCTGGATACGGCGCCTCAGTTGGTGCCGGCGCCGATTAGCAATAGTATGCACAAATATGCCAATATGCCACACCCACACCCACACGCACACCCACCGCCTCCACCGCCCCCCGGCGCGTATGCCCTCAACTTTGGGCCACTGGAGCTGCGCTCGTGCCAGAACTACACGAACTGCTACGGGGGATTCGGCTCGAGTCCTGCCAGCAGCAGCGGCGTCTGCTCCTTCTTCGGAGCCACCAACTACTGTGTGGCCGCCAATTATGCGAAGAACGCATATCCGCCACTCTGATGGAGCGGCTAGCTTTAATGGGCCCCACGAGGTTACTTCATGCATATGTATTTCAATTAGCCAAATTGCATTAATGCTTAAAAACGTATTAGGACCAGCATATTCGCCTACCTGACTAATATTTATATTTATACGCACCGAAACAGATGCAGATACATTTACAGATACAGATGTGACGCACTGAAGGAGAAAACGCAATAAATAACATTTTCTAGGAAAACGCCGGAAGTGTGTATTTGAGTGGGAATTCTGTTTATTTTTTGGAAAACTTACTGCGCTCAAGGGCCAATACACTAAAATTTGCTATGGAGCAAACTGAGCGAAAGTAATCACATCGGGTTAACTCGTTGGATGGAATTATCTTGTGAGACACAAGCAATTACCTACTCGTCAATATGTGAAAGTTTTCCATTTACTAAGCTGTCATCCAGGCGTTTGGATATGACATGGCTTATTTAATTATTGACTTAGTAATACGATTTAATTAAAAATTCATAACCCCGCACATTGGCAGCAGCAGCTCGAGGGCTCCGTTTGCATCTGCGAGTGTGTGTTATTTCACCCGCATGTGTTAATTTGTATAATAAAACTTAATTAAAGCCAAAACAAATAAACAAACGGGCGATGTGGGGGCACAAGCAAGCAGCAAGGGAAAACTTTTGCCTAGCCGCAAATGTTGGAAAAGCGAAGCCGCAATCAAAGTGGATTAAGATTGTGGAAATCTCGGTTTTCTAGGGCAATTAAAAGTGCAGATTGCCATTCGGGGCGGGGCACAATAGAATGTGCAGTGCTCTCAAACGCATTCCCGAAAACTCAAGTGGAAGTGGCCGCAGAAGATCCCGGATCCGGATGTACGGATATGCGGATATGCGGATGTAGGATGTAGGGATCCAGTCTTGCGCAGGGAGGTTAACAAGTATGTAATATATTTAAATGCAAATAAAAATTCCCTTTTATCCGCAGGCCAAACGAGATGGGAGTGAACTGAGCAGCAGGACGAAATGCGAAATGCAAATTAACATTCGGAATGTGGAACGGTTTGTGCTGCTAATTTGCATAAAGCGTTGCCGCTCCGAGCGTAAAACATTTTTACAATATTTACGAAATTGCAATAATGTTTGAAAAGCAGAACGACGGCGGCGATGGAAAAATGCGTTTTGTCCCTTTATTTTATTTTTTTTTTGTTTTTTTGTGCGATGCGGCAAATTGTTTGCCGGCAAACGGACGACATTCCTGCTGACAGGCGAACATGTTGCAGAAGTCCTCCTCGCAAGGGAAACACAAATTTATGGGCCAAACAACAGAGTCCTGTCAAATCAAATGGCAAACGGAAATGCCGGAGCAAACGGGGCCCTTATGCCAGCCAAGTGCGGCGTTATGGAACGGTGTGTTATCCCTTTCAAAGGACATGGAGCTCTCAGCTCTCCTCTCCAGCGAAAGCAGCTGAATTGGACAGTTCGAATTAATCAAGGACCTACTTTTATCTCCCTTGTGTGGCGGGCCCAAAAAGAATGAACATCTCGTAGTTCGTAAGATACATGTAGATACAAACAGTTAACCAAGATGGGCAACTGATAAATAGTTAATTATCGTGCAAAATTAACCACTGTTAATCAGTGGATACAGCAAAGCTGCCGAAGACATGGTTGGAATCCCCCATGACGGGCTCTATAATTAGGTGATAATTTCTGCCTCTGTTAAAAAGCAATTATTTATAAGCGGCCTAATGAACGCGGCCTCCCCATGTGGCATATAGTATGATGACACGGGCAACATTGTCAGATGAAAGGGAACTGCGCTGCGATGATCTTGGATGATGCAGGGGAGAGATCCCGGTGACAGCTTCTTAAGTTCCATGCCGCCACGGGCACAAGATTTGTGTACCATTCGCGTCTTTCGGTTTGGGCCCTGTCCAAATATGTCACACGATGATGGATACATCACTTGGATCATAAAGAAGGGGCGCCATTGAAATCGAGAAGCAGGCAGTGGGGGCATTAATAATCACACATGAGCAGTACTATAAAGACGAGACCAATAAAAAGTGTTTCTTTCAAAGTTACTAAACATAAACAATCAAAAAATCATAGAAAAGTTAGACCTACAATTTTTATTTCGGCTGTCACTGGAAATTTTCCGATGATTTAGAAACGATTACTCTAGATGCGATAGAAATCGTTTTTAGATCTCGCAAAATTTCAAATTACAACTTGGGCGAACTGTTCAATTTGGAGGACAATGCCTTTTTCGAAATGTATAGTTCCAGCTCATTGGAAGGGGTTGAAACAGCTTCTTTGCACTTCCTTGATGCCGACTGGGATCTTCGGATCTTCTTAAAGCCATATGAGGATGGCGAACAAAGGATTTCGATATCCCAGGAATACTGGCTCCTCATGTCGGAACAATGATTTTGAAGCTGGATTGACTAGGATTGACTCACAACCGAGATGCCTTCCAATGCAGAATTGTGAACATTAGTAATGATATGATCAGGCACAGTATCAGAGTTGAAGTTCCCAGTAGAACACCAGCAGTTGAGTTGCTGATAATGACATGGTTCTCTTCGTGGTTCGTGAAGTAGTAGGCTGATTGCATATTCTCCTCGTAGTCCCTGGCGCCACAGTGCTTCTTGAGCTCCGAGGTCAGACTCATGGTAAAGTTGTAGCACTTGTGGTGGCCATATCTGAAGAACAAGTTCTTCGATACGCCGTCAACAGTCCTGCAATCCAGATTTTCCATATCGGTCATCCGGAGGGTACGGCATTTGGTCATGTCCGCGAAGCGAAAGATCAGCATATAGCTGGAAGGCTCGTGGTCAAGCTGGTAAATACTGTAGGGATCCTTGGTACTGATCAGCCGAATGCGATACTTCTTGATCAGGGACTCTGGTACGACGTCCGAGCAGACCTGGGTCATCGATTCAGAGAAAAACTCATTGCAAAGGTTATGAAATTCATCGATTGCCTGCATTTCTCGCGATTCGAGCACAACGGAAATTTTGAATAACTTTTCGTCTTTTTTATGCTGTCTATTTAAGTATATTTTATGAATTTCTGATCCACAGCAATGTGACCTGCTAGCCAGACTTGTGTAGATCTTCAAAACCGAATTGATCTACAGCTGGGGATCTAGCTCGAAACAATTGTTTGTTTACTAAAAACTGATGGACAAACGTTTATCATAAGCCAAGGTTAAATTATTGACTTAGTCATGCTTCTGTAAATAAACGCATCGCACTTACGCAGCTTTTCGATTAAACTCATCACAAATATAAAAAGCACAACAAAATATTTGCCTAATTGTTTCAAGTGCTGGTGAAAGACAGTTTATGGTTTGAAGTAGGGTATCAACACAACTTTTTGAATCGCAAAAAGTTTCTTCAAATAAATTATCGTCCACTTAGGCATTGGAACAACATTTCTCTTTATTCTGAGACGGACAAAAATCAAATGGAATCCAATTAATGATAGGGTTGATTAGCATAATGTATATTAAATGGAATACAATCTGTTTGTGACTAAGCGAATGCGACAGCCGAGGAACAAAGACCGGCGAAATTGTATACCTTTAATTATTCGAAACTGTTGTTTGTATTTTATTTTATGCTAATACGAAGCGATACTGTGGCCGAGTGATTCCCAAAATCCCACAATAGTTGCGTGAGTCTGCGGAAAGGTTAACCCCAAACTCCAAAACTGGTCTTCCCGAGGGGATGGTCGGCGAAATTGTGATTTGGATGGGAGCGATTCATTAGAGAGAATGGAACTGGCACGCCAATATATGACACCTAATTCTGCCAGAACCAGATGAGCAGGTTGTTGAACCAGGCGAATCCGTTTATATAATAGGCGGCCAAACCGAAATCGATAAGCAGTCCGAAACGGAAAGATCTTAAGTGAACAAGCCATCCAAGATGCGAGCTGCCATCGTGTTCGTCGTTGTGATTTTCGCACTCCTCAGCGTCCTGGAGGCCGTGCCCGCTCCCCAGTTCGGATATGGTGGCTTCGGCGGATACCCTGGCTACGGCGGATTCGGAGGCGGATACCCTGGCTACGGCGGTTTCGGTGGCGGATACCCCGGCGGCTTCGGTGGCTTTAGGCGCGGCGGATTCGGCGGATCCAGTGCCTCGGCCTCGTCCTCGGCCTCCGCTGGCGGATTTGGCGGTGGCTTCTACGGATAAGAAGTCCGGAAGATAATTACGCTTAAGCCTGCTCAATTTAAATAAACCAAATCGATATTCCTGTGACTCCCATATCTGTGGTGTTGCTTTTATGGGTGACACTAGTTGGCTTGCTTTGGAAGAAGTACAGACCCACTTGTTGGTGTATTAAATTCATTTAAAATTCCGAGTTCTGTGCGGTCAACATTTTGCTGCTGCAACAAACATTTAAACGTTTTGCAAAGCGAATGCAAAGAACTCGGCAGTCCAGAAACAAACTTTCACTTGCCCAAAAATTTCGATTTGGCCCAGCTGTGGCTTCCATTCGCCAGAGCCACAAGTAAATCAATGCAGAGGCCCTCGTCCTTTCCTCGATGCCAAAGGATGCCAAAGTCAGGTCAAATCCACAGAATGTGCATTGAACTTGGTTCAACGACTTTGCGGCATCATTAAAAACTTTTGCCCGGCATCTTGAGCAGTCCTTAGCCCGGGGCTTCGCTGGCCTAACTCCGGCATTTTGCTCGCACACATCTGGTGGACATCTTTTTATATTGTTATTTTTGAAATTTATGTCCTTCTGCAGGGGAAAAGGCCAAAGAATGCAAGTTAAGCTGAATAGCTGCTTTGCCTGTTGACGTTAACTCAAAGTTGCATTGATGGACGCGGTAGTTTGGTCCAGCTCCGGCTCTTGCTCCTGCCATCGGCCATTTGACGTCGCGGCTCTGGAGCTGATGTTCATCCATTGTGTCCTGTGTTAGAGCTGTGTGTCCTGCGAGTCCTGTGGCTCGTGTGGCCACTGCACAATGCCGCCTCCTTCTCCTGCTTCTCTATGGCCTCCATTCATGGCAGCCCTGCAAGTCATGGGCATTCAAAGGCATAATATAATAACGCGTCTATGTGCTCTCAGCGATTTTATGATGCCCGTTGCTGCGGCGGCCGAGCCAGGATAATGACGACCACAAGAAGTCACCAGGATATGTGCCCCTCAGTTGTGTGAGTGATGGCATAGTTGGCTGGTTCGCTTAGGTAAGATATTCATTGCAGCATCCATAATAACATTTAGTGTTCTAACAGTTTAAGGACGAGTGTTTGGTTTTTTGAGAGATTGAAATGATATGGCGATCAAAATCCAAAGGCTTTCTAATCCCAACCAATTTACGCGTGTGTGGGGCAATGGCAATGGCAATGCAAATCAAGGATTCTTTTCAGCAACACGTAAAGGGCGGATCGAAGGATTCTCGGGGTTGAGTGCAAACTGGGGGCGGTATGAAGTGCAAACTGTTCGCCGAAAATATGTCAATCGGAATGTAAATCATTGCGTAATTTGCATTTTGAGCAAATCAGCTCCAATTCAAATTGCCGATGCCCGTTGCTGCCGCCATTCCCCTCGATCCACAATCCCTTTGCTTCTGTCGCTGGCAACACGTGAGTTATGGCGACGATTTTGACAATTGTCGAGCGACGGGCCACGCCCACCGCCCACCGCCCAGCGGCAATGGGCGTACAGCCGACGCATCCGTTACGTGCGTCTATATGTTTGCCTCTCGATTCGGGCGCCATAAATCTTGGCTCTTGTTATCCAACATAATTGTGTTGACGTGCCTCGATGCGAATTTAAATCATGTTAATATATATATTTATAGGGCCAACTGCCGCCAGAAGTTCTCTGCCTCACTTTGAGCTCACGTCGTCATCATTTGAGTTTGAAATTTAAGAGGCGTTATAAAACCAGTTTTTTTAAAGCTGCGATACAACTAAGAATGCGACAATTTTTATAAATTCTAGTTTGCTTGCATATTTCATAGAAGCACTGCACCTTTACAAATGTTTTTATATGCAAAACACTGTTGATTAATTAATCCTAGTTCCATTTCAATTTGACTACTTTAAATAAAAGGATGGCCCGATAAGCCGATTGTAAAGGAAAATGCCTTTAAATTCCCGATACAGCAAAATGAAACAGTGCACAACTTGGATGCACGTTTTGCCTGCAAAAGGAATTAGATTTACATTCGGCGTTTGCTAAAAACGAATTTATTTCAAAAATTATGCTTTGATTTATTTTATTTCGTTTATTTATGCCTCCCTTAACTCTAAACTCACCCATTTCACCTGCTGCCATTCCCAGCATTTTCCCACTGTGTTGTGTGCCTGTGTTTATGACGCAACTTTCATCACGTACAACGTAGAGCAGATGTACATACGCCAAAAAGTATGCAACAGCAAAACGTGATTTCGTTTTAAATTTCAACTGCGAGTGCTGTCAAAGCTGAATTTATTTGCTGAACGCATTCATTTGGAAATTATCGAATAGGAAATTATTGGCTGCCGCAGAACAAAGCGGGTTTGCTGCCATAAAGTTGCCCGCAAGCGTTTACCATTATTTCTCGGCAGAACATAGTTTCTTGCAAACGGTTCAATAGCATTCCTTAGTTAAGAGTAGTTCTATCAAGGTGCCACAGAGAACCCCAAACTTAATTTGGACAGCTTTCTAAAGGATTTCAAATCTCACACGTATTACAATTACTTGCCCATAACTAAGTGAAATTGCAGTAGTACTAAAATATAATAAAACACGCTGCTGATCATGCCAAACCACATGCTGCGATTGGCTTGGAAAAGCCCACAGGTCCAGAGCTGTAACTTCGAACTGTTGGCGTAGACCACATAGGAACTAATCTGAAATGAAACTCCTTTTATGAGCATGTCCACAAGAAACAACCACGAATTCAGATACCTCTTTCGTCCAGCGAATTTCACTCCAGGAGTGCCTGGCCGAGTCGTGGTACTCCACCGCCACATCGCACATGTAGTCGATGAGATAGTAGTCCAGAGAACGCACATGGTATTGAACACTTCCGTAAACGACCCATAGGAAAGAGGTAGAGAGGTCAAAGGTGAACACTGCACCCCAATAGGCTTGGATCACACCAATTACAAAGTGATCGAAACGGGTGGCCAACATCTGGGGGGCGTAGATTTTATTTATGTTGAGAGCTGTCTTGGTGAGGCAAGTGTGTAGAAACCAGAGATGTTGCAGCTCCTTCTGATCCCTAGTGGATTTTGATTTAACAATCTGGTCCAGACGCCTGTTCACGCAATCGAAGCCTCGAGCAATGTGCCACAGGGCGAGAAAATAGCCCATGGGCACCATTTCCAGGATATTGTTGGTATTAGACAAGAACAAAAATCTGGCTATGTTAACCCAGATTACCGCATCACTCGAATAGAACAGAAATATAATGTCCGTGATGCACAGCCAAGACAAGGTGAAGAACTTCACAAACAGAAGAATCCTCAAGGACCTTCGTACACCATCTATGCCCTTGTAGCCACATCGCTTTTCCTCGCGGAATAAAGTCAGCAGCAATGGCTGCATTTCCTTCAACGCTGTGTCGCGAAATCCTCGCGATAGGAGTGTGTATAAAATGATCAGGAAGGACACCGTATACCTTACGTCATTTGTGATCAAAATGAGCTGCGGATAGTGCCTCTTCGCCAGAAACACCGATCGAACTTGCCACATAACTATGGGCAGCATGGTGAGCGTAATGATGTTGGCGATTAAAGCATAGGTCCGAGAAAACAGGGTAGTGTAGAACTTTCGACTGGAAAATTGTTGTGATGTAATACCAATTGCCAGGGAATAGCGGAAATACAATTCAACTATCCAGGAAACCATAACGACGTCCTTCGCGCACTAGTTTGTACAATGAACTGATGACAATTGCTTTGCTAATGAGCACTCAGCCCATTTGATTGAACGATAGGAGTGCGTAAGTCACTGATATGAAGAGCATTACCCAAATTAATCACAATACATGGGTTAATTACACACGACTCCATAGAATGAGCAGGATCTAAAGTTCCCATAAAATTAAAAATCGTTCTGAATTGGATTTAAGTTGAAGCTACGAACTAAGAATATATTGTTGCACGACACCTTTGAAAAGTATTCACAATACTAGTGGTTTCTGTGACCACCTCGCATGACAAGATGAAACTGGAACAGCATGATGGAGTGGACTACAATAGAGGCCACCATTTCCAACCATTTCGCTTTATTAACGGGATACAGTCCACAAACCAACAGATCCAGTCTAGTGCTGCTCTCATAGATCAAGTAGGAGCTCAGCTGAAAATTGAAATGGAATTAGATGGAAAGTTACAAATGGACACTTCATTGTTGCCCACCTCGTTGCTCATGCTGCCCTCGGTGGCAAAGAACTTCGGCTGGCTTTGGTATTCGGTGACCAGATTGCAGATATAGTCGTTCAGAAAAAAATCCACACTCCGGGCCCAATAAAGTAGAGATCCGAAAAACTTTTCAAAGGAGGACTCCTGGTCGGAATTCGAGTAAATCGTGCCTATACAACAGTTGATGACAGAAAATATGAAGTAATCAAATCGTAGCGCCAGCATTTGGGGACCGTAGTGTTTGTTTATCCTGCGGGCCGTATTACTCAGATTCGAATGAAGAGCCCACAGGCTGCGGAGTTCGTGCGCCTTCTTCTTGAAGTCCATCGATTGTGAGGACACGATGTCTTCCAGTTGCTGGTTGACAAAGTCAAATCCTCTGGCCACGTGCATTAGGGAGACGAAGTAGAAGAATGTGGTGACAACCAGGATAGTTAGGGAGATGTTAACCAGAAGTCCATTGAAAAGATTAGACCAGCTTTGAGCTCTCCATTGGTAAACTAAAACCGCCAGAATATACGACAAACACGAGTAGGTCAATGTAAATGTTTTAAGGAAAAACATTCGGCGAATTAGTGAATTCATTTTCTTTCCCGTGCGCAACATTTCCCGATTCACTTCCAGTGTAATGCGCTGCAAGTCCAACAACATGGAGTCCCTGTAGCATCTCGAGATCAGGATGTAGGCTATAGCAGCATAGTTTGTTGAAAACATAATGTATGGAGTGAACGCCATGTAGGAAGGCATCCAATCCGCCGCACTCATTAGCTTGGCCGATTGCCAGAAAGCCTTCGGCAGCAAAGTCAAGCAGATGGCATTTATAACCAAACAATATATCTGAGTAAGCCTCGACTGCTTGAACTTTCCACCGGTTGCTTCATATGACGTCATGCCGATGAACACGGCGTATACGTTATATGCTTGACCTATCCACTTCATTGTTGGTAACCGACTAAGCCGCCTTTGATGTGTCTCGTAGTACATCTAAAGTTAGTCGCTCGAATTTTCCATCGCATAAATGCTAATTAGCAGAAGTGTTATTCCGCGCGGCGATCTAAATCAGTCTAAATAGTATGGCTACGCCAACATTTGATGACCAGTTTTCCATTAAGATTATTCTGCGCGCACTATTTATTAAAGACTTTAACTGAATTTAATAATAAATACATATATATATTATATTCATCACTTAATTTGCTTTCACCTATCTACTCAGCGCCAAATGAAACTGAAGCAACAAAGTAGCATGGCAAGCGATGGCTCCGATCATTTCAAGCCACCTGGCTCTATTGGGAAAGTAAAGTCCACATACCTTCAAATCGAGTCTCATGCTGCTCTCATAGATCAGATATGCACTTAGCTGCAAATAAAACATTTACTTTGGAACAATATCAAGTGCCTTAGGTACTCTACCGCCTTCTGGTTGATTTTTCCTTCGACAAGTTCGTGCTTCGGATGGTTCTGATACCGCGCGGTCAGGTCGCATATGACATCGATCAGGAAGAAGTCCAGAGCCCGAACGAAGTATATTAGGCCCACATGAAGTATGAGCAGACTCATTCCATGGAACATGCTAATTATACCCACGTAGCCATATACAACAGAGAACAGAACGTATTCAGTGCGCGAGACGATCATCTGGACTCCATAGACTCGACTTATTCTGCTGGCCATTAGACTGAGAGTCCAATGAAGGGCCCACAGATCTCGTAGTCTCTCCTCGAAATTCTTAACATGACCTCCAGATCTTGAGACCGTGAGATTTTTCATCTCTCTATGCACAAAATCGTATCCTCTAACGATTTGCCAAAAGGACGTGAAGTAAAAGTAGTTGCTGACGTTCAGGATGCTGTAGGCTATACCCATTAAAGTTACTTCCAAAAATCCTTCTTTTATAAGTAAAAGTGATATGAACGAACCCACCGTAAGGTAGGTGAGGCTAAACGACTTTATGTACAACAGTCTCTTTAGTCTTGAGCTCGTTTTCCTTCCAGCCAGCTCCATTTTGCGGCTCAACTGATTGGTAATGTCCATCAAATCATAAAACATACTATCCCGATACGGGCGCGATAGCAGAATATACACTATGACTGCATAGTTAACCGAACAGACAACTATTGGAATTGCAGACATCATTTCCGGAAACAAGGACGCCGTCTTCATATCTTTGGCCGCACACCAACACATCCAAGCCAAAATTACGACGGTGGCAATGTTCCATGCTAGGACATATGCCTGTGTCATCCTCGATTTCTTCAATTCGCCTCCGACTATTCTGTAAGCAGTCAGGCCAATGACCTGCGCGTATCCGTGGTAGATCTCAACTAGTTTCTCCATTACCCTGCCGCTGAGAACCACTTTCTACCAGGTGTTAGCGTATACTACCCGCTATAGGTTTCATACTAAGCCATTTGTTTTGAAAATAATTAACCTATCTGCTTGCATCAAAAGTGTGCACTCACACTTGCCGATCAACGGCCGATTATGCCAACCATTACCCTTAACTTCATTTCCCATAAATGTGAACAAGGAAACAAGAACATTTTTTTTTAAATTATAGGTCATTTTTCTGCGCCATCATGCCCGATTAGACATGTTTGCACAAACTTAAAATTCAAAGCCGTGTCACAACAAAAGGATTTGTATTTATGGCCTTGTTTACCAAACTTCTCACTAACCCTTTTTGACCTTTCGACCCAATGTCAGGTACTAACCACCTAAAGGTCTGCATCCTACCTGGCTGGTATTTAAATATGCCGGGTAATGGGATCTGCATATCATTCGCTATCAGCACCTCAACAAGTAAACTTACAAGAATGGAAGGTCCTCTGTCGTTTCTCCAAGTGGATCCTGCCTGCCTCTTTCTCCTTGTTCTGGGAATTTCACTGGTGGATTTCATCATCAACAAGTGGTCCTGTCCAAAGGGAGGCTTATCCTGCCGCCCGTCGAGATCTGCTCTTCCTGCCAAGAAGAACACAAACTGCGAGAATGAAACTCCTTTGGTCAGAAATCGAGGTTTGCGACATCGCGCTAAACTTCTGGCTAGCGTCAAACGGCGGCTCGATTATCAGTTTTAAGGAACCCATGTTGTAGAAATAAGCATTAAACTATATCAAATATGACAATTAAAATAAATGTATACACGTATAAACCTTAATCGACTTGTGTTTTCCTTAAGCATTACAAATAATTTGAATCTATCGATTTCTTGGCGGGCTTTCGATAGTTTTTCTAAGAAACGGAGGGCTGCCAGAAGGTTTAGTTTTTCGCTAGTCTAGTACGTTTTAGCCAATTAATTTTAATAAACAAAAATCAACATAAAAACTGTATGCTCATATTACTAGCTGCTTATTTCCTATGTGCAATTGTAAGCGTTTTATCACAGCTTTGAGTTTAAAAGCACAACTTACAAATAGCTAGTAGGCTATTTTGGCTAGTTCTAGTATCAGAGCATCTCTATAGAACCAAACTGTGCCATCACTGTGGGTAGTGTTTATTTAGCCGGTTTTTATGTTGAGGAATTTGATAAAGTCACGTTTCCTGGCGCGCCGCACAATGTCCTGCTTCTCGCAAGCGATAAACCCGATAACGGGGCAGAACTCCTGGCAGGAGCGCGGCGATGACTACGACTACCACCTGGAGGTGGCCAACGCGGGATTCGGCGACATGCTGCACGACTGGGAGCGGAACCAGAAGTACTTCGCCGCGCTGAAGAAGACCATCGCCGGAATGCGGGAGGCGGGCAGGGAGGTGCATGTCCTGGACATCGGCACGGGCACGGGAATACTGTCGATGATGGCCGTGGAGGCGGGAGCAGATTCGGTGACCGCCTGCGAGGCCTTCCTGCCTATGGCCAATTGCGCGGAGAGGATTCTAGCGGCCAACGGAGCTGGCGACAAGGTGCGACTCATACGAAAGCGATCCACGGAGATTCAAGTGGGGGAGGATATGCCGCGAAAGGCCAATCTTCTAGTGGCCGAGCTGCTGGATACAGAACTGATAGGCGAGGGCGCCATCGGCATATACAACCATGCCCACGCCGAACTGCTGACCGAGGACGCACTCTGCATTCCAGCGCGCGCCAGATGCTACGCCCAGGTGGCCCAATCTCCGCTAGCTGCGCAGTGGAACAGCCTGAAAACGATTGCCAACTTGGACGGCGAACCATTGCTGCACCCGCCAGAGCAGCTGAAGAGCTGCCAAGGAGAGGCGGCTCTGCACGACGTGCAACTGTCCCAGCTGCCAAGCTCGGCGTTCCGCCCGCTCACCGATCCCGTCGAGATCTTCCAGTTCGATTTCCAGCGCAAGCAGGAGCGAGAGAAGCAGCGAGCTCAATTACTGAAGCTCCAGTCCAAGCAACCTGGAGCCGCTGAGCTGGTCTTCTACTGGTGGGACATTCAACTGGATGATGGCGGGGAGATACTGCTTAGCTGCGCTCCTTACTGGGCGCATCCACAGCTGAAGGAGCTGGCGGCGGAGAAGGGAAATGATCACCCGCTGCCCAATGTGGTGCCCTGGCGGGATCACTGGATGCAGGCCATCTACTACATACCCAAACCTCTGCAGCTGGTTGAAGCAGGCAAATCTTTCCACCTCAGCTGCCATCACGATGAGTACTCTCTCTGGTTCGATGCTCGCGAAGAGGCGCCCACGAAGAGCGTGCGGCGTCATACCTGCACATGTGACCTCCACATGACCTACTCACGCAGTAGGATTGGCCAGATCAATCAGTCCCCCCGAAACAAGCGGTACCTGCGCTACCTGGAGGAAAGCATTGAGGCGGAGAAATCGAATGTCTTGGTCCTCGGAAACGGCTGCCTGCTGGGACTGGCTAGCTCTGCTTTGGGTGCTGCCTCTGTCCTCCTCCATGAACCCCATCGCTTCTCGCGTAGATTACTGGAATCGATTGTAAAGCACAACCAGTTGAAGAACGTCCAGTTTTTGGACAAGGTCGAGGAACTGGAGGACTCTCAGCTAGCTGCGCTCACTCACATTTTCGCTGAGCCCTACTTCCTGAATGCGATTCTCCCGTGGGACAACTTCTACTTCGGCACCTTGCTCACGAAAATAAAGGACAGGCTGCCGCAGAACGTAAAGATTTCGCCATGTTCGGCGCGCATCTATGCTCTTCCCGTGGAGTTTCTGGATCTGCACAAGATTCGAGCACCCGTTGGCAGTTGCGAGGGATTCGATCTGCGCTTGTTTGATGAAATGGTGGAGGTACGACTGCAATTCGTTGTCCTAAAAACTGCAATAATGATTATTTTTCCGACAGAGATCAGCAGAGCAGGCAGTGTCCCTGGTAGAGGCGCAGCCCCTCTGGGAATACCCCTGTCGCGCACTATCAGAGCCCCAGGAAGTTCTCAACGTGGAGTTTAGTAACTTTAGCCAGGAGCATAGCCTGAAAGGCAGCATTGAGCTCAAGCAGTGAGTAATTCGGTATTTTGTGTTGCAATGCATCAATCCTAATTCTTTTCAGCTCCGGAACGTGCAACGGAGTAGCCTTGTGGGTGGACTGGCAGCTGGTGGAGGACAACAGCCCCAGATCCATTGTTAGCAGTGGTCCTAGTGAACCTGTCGTTCCCGGCGAGTTTGTTAAGTGGGATATGTTTGTGAGACAAGGAGTACACTTTCCAAGGAGACCGAAAGAACCAATTACGCATCTCGAATGGAGCACGGCCTTTAAGCCCGAGTTGGGTGAACTTAACTTCACCTTCGGCCAGAAGAAGCTTTAACATTTTATCATTTATTCACAAAAATTTGGACGAATTACAACGAGCAATGAACGTCAGGGTAAATACAATGAATAAGTGAGCAATAGGCATACCTAGTCCTTGGGAATCTCGTTCTCCATGCGAGTGAGCGTTATGTTCCTGTCAGTCTGCGAGGCGTTGGCCACCTTGGAGCCGAACTCTCCGCCTCTAAGACGCATACGCAGATCCAGTGCTCTGATGTCCGTCATCAGCGAGTGCTGCTTGTTCTCCAGATCCACGTCAATTCGCTTGCCGTGCTCCTCCAGCAGACTGAAGTTGGTCTTGCTCTCGTCGATCTTGGCCTGCAGCCGGCGGCGAATCTCTCGCAGCTTCTCCACCTCCAGACAGAGCATGTCGTGCGCCTGGTCCATGCACAGTTCCATGCCAGACCTCTGGGCACGGTTCTCCAGGCGTGTCTCGGCCAGTTTCAGGGCATCCGTCTTGTCACGCAATGCATTCTCCGATGTACGGATCTCGCACATGGCCTTCTCCATCTCGTCCTTCATCTTGAGCTGCTGCCACTCCAGTTCGTTCCTGGCCCGCTGCGTCTCGAAGATCCGCTTGCGAATGGTGTGCTCCGCCCGCTCCTGCTGCGACTGGAGCATGTTGCGCGCCTTTTCGCGGCACACGAACAAAGCCTCCCGGATGGCGTACGTATCTGCCAGCTCATTTTCCGCCAGCAGCTTTATGTTCTTCACGTTCTCCAGCCACGACTCGTATGAACAGGAGCTAAATGGGCATTTCGTTTCGTTACCTAGCTACGGAAACATTCCACGTTTACTTACTTCTTCGGATTCCTCGTGGGATCCGGTTTGTAGGAGATATTGGCCGAGTTGCGGTCAAGAGCCAACTGCGAGTTGTCCATCTGTACCGCCTCCACCTTGAACTCGATCTCCAAGCCGATCTTAAAGCGCACTTCCTCCAGACGATTCAGCTTCTCCCACGCCTTCTGGCATCGATCGGCCAGCAGCCTCTGGTTGTTCTCCAGCACGACCAGTTCGTTCTTGATCTCGGTATCGGCCTCATCGTAGGTGATCTCCGATCCGAGGCGACCATCCCGTATGGTCAGGCACTCGGCTATCACGGAAATAGGACCCGCCAGCGCCTCTAGCTCCCGTTCCGTGGCGTTCTTCTCCTCCTGCAGCATGAAGATCTCGCGCTCGATCTTCTCAAAGGACTTTGAAATGATATCCCTCCAGCGATTCAGCTCGGAGATGCTGAATAAATTATAAATCGCACATTATCAGTATCTTTGCAAACTATATATGCAAACTCACCGATCAGTCAGAGCTTCATTTGTATCGTAGTTGGCCCAGTCGCCCTCGATCCTCGTCTCGTTCCGCAGGGATCGGGATGAATGGCGGATGGCGAAGGCGTCTGACCTCCGGGCATCCGCCACATTCCTCATCTGGTTCACCCGGGCGTACCAGTCCGTCAGTGAAATGTGCTGGAGCGGTTTCTCCATCGTTACCACCGAGCGGAAGGCCATTGTGTCTTCAAAAGTTTAAGTAAAACAGCTGGATTTATTGTTTAACAATTTCAGAAAATATGTGCTCCCAACTAGAAATCTCAAAGCGGAATGAAAAGCTTTTCTGAAACATCGATTCAAATGGTTGTTTGGTCAACGAGCACTAGATCTCCAAGGCGCTGGGTCATTGTCAAGGACTACGGGACTGTGATTTCTGTTCACAGGCTTCCATAGTTACATTAGATAAATAAAAAATTATATTGTATGAATATTACCTTAAAATGTAGATTGGCCCAAATATATATGCACTTTCCTTGGATTTGTAATAATTTAATTAATGATTTAATAATGATTACTGGGCAGCATAATTGTATTTTTTTTTTTTTTTATATTTTGAAGTTATTCAAAAATACTTTATTCCGGTTTTATACTTTTATACTGGGTTACTGGGCAGCATAATTGTATTTCTTTTTTTTTTTATATTTTGAAGTTATTCAAAAATACTTTATTCCGGTTTTATACTTTTATACCACTGTGGACGCGGTGGTTTCGATCTTTGCTACATCCTCAGCCAAGTTTTCCACCCCATACACCTTTCGGTATTTTTCCGTTGCTCTCCGGTATATCTCCCCGTGATCTCCGCTGCGGTCACACTGCCGCACACACGTGTTTTTCTTTTCAAGCGTTTTGGTTGCCGCGTGTTAACGGCCCCAATCACATTTCGTTGAAAGTTGTATTAAAAAGTGCAAGTACAGCAGCATAAAATGGGCAAACCAGGTTCGTTAAATCATGCTTTAACGATGCGAATCAAAGCAGGCGACGCAATTCCTTTCGGGAGCGTCCAACTTAACCTCTGAGTTCACAATTATTAAAATGCGGATATTTTCTGTTGCAGGATTCAGTCCACGCGGTGGCGGCGGCGGAGGCGGCGGAGGAGGAGGTGGCTTCCGCGGGCGGGGCGGCGGCGGAGGAGGAGGAGGCGGTGGCGGATTTGGTGGAGGCCGTGGACGCGGTGGCGGCGGCGATCGCGGTGGCCGAGGTGGATTCGGTGGTGGCCGTGGAGGAGGTGGTCGCGGTGGTGGTGGCGGCGGCGGCCGTGGTGGCTTTGGAGGACGAGGCGGCGGCGGTGGCCGTGGTGGCGGAGGACGTGGAGGCGGCGGCCGCGGCGGAGGAGGTCGTGGTGGTGGTGCTGGCGGCTTCAAGGGCGGCAAGACCGTCACCATTGAACCGCATCGTCACGAGGGAGTGTTCATTGCCCGCGGCAAGGAGGACGCCCTGGTCACCAGGAACTTTGTACCCGGATCCGAGGTCTACGGCGAGAAGCGCATCTCCGTTGAGGTTTGTTTCTCACCTCTCTATTCACTTACCATACTTGTTCCTAGCTTATGATGAGGTTGTGCAGGGGTACAGAACATGGCATCATGTGGCCATGAGCATCCTTGGCGGCCACCTGTGGCTGTGTGCACTCCAGGTGCACGTAATGCAGTCGCGGGGCTCCAAGGTCTGCTTAGAATAATGCACAACTGAGGCGAATTCCTATCTATTTATCTATCCCACAACAAACAGAACACAAACAAGTCCACCATTTTGAAAACTGAAGTTCGAATACATTTTTGAAACTACCTGTAGAATCCCTGCTTTATTTAAACAATACTACTCTATATTTTACTCAATTTACTTCTTCATTTCTGTTTTAATTTATAACAAAAAGCAATTGATTAAAATGTATTCTCTTTTCGACTTCTTTGCAGAACAATGGCGAGAAGATTGAGTACCGCGTGTGGAATCCCTTCCGTTCCAAGCTGGCTGCTGCCGTTCTGGGTGGCGTCGAGCAGATTCACATGCCGCCGGGCTCCAAGGTCCTCTACCTGGGTGCCGCCTCCGGTACGACAGTTTCCCATGTGTCCGATGTGGTGGGACCCGAGGGCCTCGTCTACGCCGTGGAGTTCTCACACCGATCCGGTCGCGATCTGATTAACGTGGCCAAGAAGCGCACCAACATCATACCCATCATCGAGGACGCTCGCCATCCGCACAAGTACCGCATGCTGGTTGGTATGGTGGACACCATTTTCGCCGACGTTGCCCAGCCGGATCAGGGCCGCATTGTGGCGCTGAATGCCCAGCACTTCCTGAAGAACGGCGGACACTTTGTCATCTCGATCAAGGCCTCCTGCATCGACTCGACGGCGCAGCCCGAGGCGGTATTTGCCTCCGAGGTGAAGAAGATGCAGGCCGACAAGCTGAAGCCGCAGGAGCAGCTCACGCTGGAGCCTTACGAGCGAGACCACGCCGTCGTTGTTGGCGTCTACCGACCACCGCCCAAGCAGTAAGCAGTCGTCTTCTACTGGGTTTAGTTTTAAGGCTATTGTACTAATACAGACGAGTTGTATTAAGTTTCTTTTAAATATAAAACCATAGTTGTAAAGATAAATCAAAATGCACACTATTTTTGTAGCAGACGTACAAAAAATACACAGAAACCAAAAGCCAATGTAACAATATGGAGTTCCTATAGCAAAAACATGGTTTTTAAAAAAGGTATTTCGGAAAATTGTTTGACAAAGCTTTCTGTTAATTAACGCTAGTTTATGCCAGTTAGTTTGTTCTTCTCTCGGCCTTTCAGTGGGTTTTGTTTGCATGTCTTTTTCACTTTTTTGTAAGTAACATTTTTCATAAGACCCAATCATCAAATGTGTAACGAATTTTATAAAATCCAGTCATTAGTACGAGCATCAAAATACACAACAAATAAAATAAGTGCCAAAAAAAAAAAAATTAAAAGATCATCCGCTGCGGACAGGATTCGAACCTGCGCGGGTAGAACCCAATGGATTTCAAGTCCATCTCCTTAACCACTCGGACACCGCAACTGAGTCGGCCCGGTGGCAAAGTTCCATGTTGGTATGAAGCCCAGATTTCAGCACCCCCTCATCAAACACTTGCCAGGGATGGCGTACCACATAGACGGACACGAACCAAGAACAATTCCGGGGTCATGTCTCGGCTTAAGCCATTCTTTATCAAAAATTGCAAAAGTCGAAGATTCGTTTACGTGGCTAACACATTTTTAGCGTTTTAACATTTTTAGCTTTAAAAATAAATAAATTTTTTGATTCTACCACAAAATAGCGTCTTGCTACCATTAGATTAATCTAATAGTTTTCGGTAGGTATAAATATATATATAGTATGTCATGAAAAGTAATTAAATAGCTTGCAAACTTGTGGTTAATATTGAACTAGAAATTATGTTTTGGAATATCTACTACTATTCCCATTGCAGAAATTCAGATGTTTATCTGCATAGAATTATGCAGCGCGAAATATTACACACAAATGGAGCTGCCTTCGATAAGGCTGCGGTGTCCGAGTGGTTAAGGAGATGGACTTGAAATCCATTGGGTTCTACCCGCACAGGTTCAAGTCCTGTCCGCAGCGATGTGTGGTTGTAACACTTTTTTTTTCGAACCGTGTTTAGCTCGTGATACTTTATTCGAGCTTTGAAACAATCTTTTTCTTGCATATAACTTATGAAATTACTCGTTTGGCCAAATAATACGTGATTGAAACACTCGTAACGTGTTTTTATCATTTAAATTACTTTATTTAGCCGTTTTGCAGCGATCTCAAAATATAACAATATAGAGGCATAGTGCATTCTTCTCTCAGTTGATAAAATACGACTTTAAGCTTAGCCTAGGAATTTCCCGTGCGGGCTTTTGAAGATTCTGCCTCGCGAAAGACACACAGATCATAATCATTTAAAGAGGACATTGGTTTTACTTTTCTCGTTAATCTTTAGGTCTTAGCAACTAGGGTAAAATCATAATCGCGTTGATTCTTGAATAAATGTATATATCACTGAACTCATCAGCGGTTCCTCGCTAGAGACACCTACAACTTGGCGCGCTTCGGCACACCGATGGCCTCCAAAACACCGCAGGCCTCCAGATGCTGGAACAGCATCTGCAGATACTCCTCGCGATGCCGTATGTAGTGTGCAGCGTGCTGGGACCGCTCCCAGCACTTGAACGTAACCTTGATGTTCGCACGCTCCCAGTCCTCGCGCACCGCGTGGTTGGAGGATGGCGGGCCGATGGGATCGTTTTCGGACACAAAGAACAACGCCGGGGCCTTGACCAGAGTGGAGTGGAACATCTGGCTGGAGCGCATATAGTGGATGGTGGCCTGGTTGTGGAATGTCTTCAGGTGGTAGAGCATATAGTTGCGCAGGGCGCTCTCCATGCGCTCGTTTCTCGGGAAAATCGACTTTGGCACGCCCACCGGGATCTCGGTGATGTCAGCGGCGCTGTCCCAAATCTGGCACACGAAACGGTCCAGGATGCTGCCATAGCGATCCATATCGCGCGACATCTGCAGCATGATCTCGCCCAGTTGGTAGGCGCCCACAGAAAAGCCATGCATAACAATGGGCTCATACGATTTGTTGTTCTCCAGGAATCGTAGGGTCTCAGCGGCCACCACCTGGTCAGCAGGAAAAATATGCATTAGTGATTGAACTTGGAATGTATGTTTAACAGCAGTCCGTTACTTTGATTCAGTGGTATTAGGGGCTACTTCCTTTGGCCACCAATGTATCAGAGTAGTGGGTATTACCTGGGTTCCCTTGGCCGGCCAGAGCAACTGCCATGGCGTAATGTGCACCACCATCACGTCGAATCCCATCTCGGTGTAGATCTGGGCGTACTTCTTCAGATGCTTCTGCTTGGCCATCAGCCAAGCCATCATGAGAACCAGGGGGTTGCCGGTTGGCTTCTTGAAGGCCAGCGTCTTGGAATCCACCTCGACCTGGGTCTTGGTGCTGGTGTACAGGGTCATGTTCTTGGTAATATCCTGCGAGGATAAGTACCGGCGATTGTTCGACGGGGCCATGGCGCTCTGAGTTCGGGAGAAACGGGCTATTAGTCATGTTTGGACACAGCTGATGCGAGATGGTTAGTGGCTTTGATGGGTAAAATGAAGCTTTAGAAAATACAAACAACTTCAAGTGCAACGTATACATTTTAAATTCAATAACTAGGCAAATAGGCATACGATTTCAATGCTCCCCGCTCTTCAAATATGCGACCAAGCGTCTACACCTGTACTATTCCATGAACTAATCGCTCTACGAACCAACGTTTGGATAGGTCCAGTCACTACCTGGGCAACTTTCTGATAAGATATGAAAGCTTAAGTGGTTAATATGGTCTGATCGGTTAGAGTCTGGCTGCAGATTAACGGGGCCACCGAAATCCATGAAAATTAGGGGGATGGCTCTGATTTATCCTCGACAACAGCTGCTGACCTTGGAATTCGCTCAGCACGTTATAACCAACAGCTGTTTCAGATAAGATTAGTCCAGGTGTGTGCATTTGGTTGTTTTATGGAGTCATGTTACCGAGATTGATATTCAATTACTCCGATCACTTCTCGAATTCTTGAACACTGTGTTTTATAGGGAAAATAGATGATAGTCCCTTAAATAGAAGTTTGATTTAATCCTAGAATATATGTATACCGTTTCAGTAGCAAGTTATCAGAAATAGCTTGTAGCAAGCACGAAGGCAAGTGGCCAAATGAAGGTGGTGCAAAGGTTTTGGGTTCTTTTCCCTCATTTCAGCAAGGCTAAGCCGACTGATAGCACTATGAGTTCGAAGATAGCCCCGCCAAGTCAAACGATAAGCAGTTGCAATTTAGATTAGTGAAGATTATTGTGACCTAACAGTTTTCGCACTGGTTAATCAAGTGGGGATCACATAATTGAGACAAAGCGTGCCCTAATGGAAGAGTGGCTGGAGAAGACTTTCACTTTAGCTTGACACTTTGAACTTGACCCCCAATTGCATGGCCACTCACACGTTTCGCGCGATGATAGATCTTTAGCAGTATAATTGCCAATATGACTAGTAATGTTATTTCAATTAGGAAGTCCATATTGAAGATAAAACTAAGCAGGTGCAACGACTTTGACCAACTGACTGATCCACCTCATATAGCATATAGTCTAGCGATCCAGTGGAACGATCATGGACAGTTGAGCGGAATTGAGGAGAGCTTACATTCCCCATGGAAAATAGTTATTTCTGCTGATGTGTGTGTGTGTATGCAGGAATATGTTTTTTCTACTCTTTGCGGCAGTGGTTTAAATTACATTGCGGCACTGGAAGCCTCAGTTCCCCTTGGGAAAGCTAAGCTCTTAGTCTCGACTAGAAGATACCATGTGAAATGGAATTAAAAATATCTCTTGTTGAATAAAAACCGAATCGTGCACTAATATGTTGATGGCTAACAATAACTGATATAAACTACTCTTAGAATGATTTTATAAGTATCTTTGAAGACAAAATACCCTGGCACACACTTTAGGTTGTAGGTACATGATCAGCTCGCCGCCTAAAAATAAACACAGAACACGAACATTTGGCGGATCGAGCGAAAGCTTGGCATTGGGGCGCCATTATGATTTGAATTGTGAAAAAAGCTGTGCCCCAGCTCAATTGAGCTTGCTGAATGCGAGGGTGGATCCAAAAGTGCGCCCCAGGATACGGGTAGTAGTTCAATAGAACGGAATATCGATAATATCACGTGCAGTCGGTAATATTCTGGTTGGTTCAAGCGGTTAATGAGCCCTCACTAATAGCAGGCCACTGCAAAACATCGATTAAAATATATAAATATGTTTATAAACGTATATAAGCTGTCTGTACAAATCACCATTGAAGACGCAGAGAGGTTAGGAGAGATAGGAACCCGAAATCATTTGCCGGGTACAAAGTGCAGGGAATACAGATTACTCAAGCATGCAAATTTCCAAAGTCACAAACTACAAAATGCTTAAAATGAAGAAGCGAATTTGATTAATTAAAGGTTCAGCAACAGATCAACAGTATTCAATTCAAGTTATTCTACAGCTCATTATTTTCTACAGCTAGACTCTGATACTAAACTTGGTATTTTGAGAGAAAACGTTTATAATTTCATTATACATCTAATGGAATTATTTGCCATATAAGCTTTAAAACTATTTAAAGGCGTCATGGACAATTAAATTTAATCTAACGCGGTTCAGGTTTATCTTATCGATAAGTAGTCCTTTTTTCCAATATATATTCTTAGAATTACTGGCGTTGTGGGGATAGTTTTGCTTTTTAAATTGTCAGAGTAACAAGTATTAATGTATAAATTTGAAGATAGAGCGGATTTTTAGGGTATCCGAACCTTTAGACCAAAGTTCGCAATAAGTTGGAGTGTGGATGATAATAAAATATCTCAAAATGTTGATTAATCATAGAACCAATGCCACAACTGAAGAGATACGTTTTGAGAATCAGAATTTGGAGTGCATCCTAGTGGAATTCTAATTGCTGGAATCCACGGAACCAAACCGATGGCGAACCAGAGCCAACAAGTATGCTTACATTTGGAGCCTGCTGCTGCTGCTGGTGGGGCGTCTGCAGGCTCGAGAAGTTCCGGATCAGCGGAGGCTGGATGTGTCCGGTGTGGGGAACCCGCTGGAGCAATCCCTGCGTCTGGCAGCCGCCGAAGAAGCTGTCCGCGTAGGCATTCTCGTACGGCACCGCTGCCCGGCTATTTTGTGCTATTCGAGTGCGTTGGGAGCGTGGCGGTGGGGGGGTTGGTCAATGCAAAAATTATAAATAATTCGGAGAGATGGGGGGAGGCAGGGATTTACCACCGAATGATAGGCCCACGGCTAGAGTTGCGGCTGTCCGGCCGGCGAAGGGCAGACTCATCGATTTTCTGGCCGCCGTTGCGTAAAATGCAGTGCGAAAAAAGTGCGCAGCCATTGTGATGCGAATATGGATGCGGATGCGGAAAATTGGGGAAAACACTTTCACGGCAGGCGAATCAGAATACTTTCACAAAGGCGCGTTGGACACAGACTGAAAAATGATTGCCAGTGGTTTTTCTTTTGCTCGCCTCATTTGCGTACTGCACACACACAGACGCCCGCGCGCACCCGAACGCACACAAACATGCACAGGCCAATGCACACGGACTGAACTTTGTACCCAGTGCAGACTAGTCTCAATTTGTATTGTCGAATTGCTAAGTTGCTAAGTTGCTAAATTGATAAATTGAGATTCTGGGCCGGAATTCTGCTCTCGGGCGGTGCGTGTGTGCGTGAGGGTGTGTGCGGGGTATCTGTGTGCAGTCTCAATGAGATTTCAATTGGCCAGTAGCCGAATCGATCGCCGTAACACTTACGCTAACGTTGGGCTCCCGTGTTTCGATTTTTGTTTGCAAATAAATTCGATTCAGCCCCCAACCGCTGCACAATGTGACCGTTCGCTGGAATTTCCTACGATAAACTGGTATTCTGGCTTATTGGTTTCATCATTTTATTTGGTATTTCCTACACGGCGAGAAAGTTAGACCGTTATTACTGACGTCTTTATAAGGCAGCAAATGAAATACTGTGGGTACAGAACTGCTATCATTCGCCAAAAAACGATGTGTCACGAAATCAAGAGTGGTCCGGCAATTCGGGAATCTTTTCGGTGCGGGCCTCATGGGAAATAATGACCTCGATGGAGCACATGTTGGGCGTAAGGAACTTCTCCAGGAGCTCAGAGCCACTGCGGGGCTGGCGATCGAAGGGGAAGCCCATGGACTTGCGATCCGGATAGAGGCGATCGCGCAGTCCGCAGTAGGAAGCGGCAATGCTGCACTCACAATCCTCTGGCTTCTGGTCGACCTGTAGGAGGTAAGAGAGTTGGGATCAGGAGGCACCCGAAGTATACTTTAAGGACACCTTACCTTATCGTCTTCGTAGTTGGAAACCATGACGAAGAGCTCGAAACTCAGACCCTCGGCCCGACCCTTCGGAATCAACATGTGCTGGGGCCAGCCACAGCCGCATAAGAAGTTCTGTGGTTCACCCGGATTGTCCATGTTCCGGAAGGTGCGCTTGAACGGAATGGTGACACTTGACTCCGTGGAGTCCCGGGTAATAGTATGGCTTCCGGGAGGCATGGTAACTACGAACTTGTCCAGTTCCACCATCATCCGGCGCTGCTGCTCCAGCAGCATGGTTGCATTGCCATCATCCAGCTTGGGCGCCAGGAAGATGCGCACGTATCCATACCGCGTGGCCTCGCTGGAGTTCTCCACCTCGATGGTGTAGCTGAATGGGTGGTGCTGCAGATGGGTGAACCGAGCGAGGACATGGCCGCGTGGCACAAAATCAAGGCCGCGGGACATGTCCACATCGGACTCCTGCCAGAAGGTGGTCAGCCTGTTGACCTGACCCTGGCTCTCCACTTGAATGCTCTGGACGCGAACATCCGGAAAGGTCAGGTCCTCCTCCGTATAGGGTGAAAGCTGACGCTTGTGCTCCTGGAACAAGTTGTCGATGAAGGCGTGCCACTTGTAGAAGATCGGATCGCGCATCGCGGTGGAGGCGTCGCCCATGACGCCCGCGTACTCCAGGTGCTTGTTGGTCGGATCGTGGGAGAACGCAATCAATATGTGCCCCTTGTTGTGTAGGTCGCCGTACTGCGAATGAGACGAAGTGAAGGCATTTGTTTTGTTAATTGGATATTGGAGATTAGAGATTACCACTGTGTCTGAAAATATGCAACCTATGTAAGTAAATCACTTACCAGCGTTTTGTTGGGCGTCAACTGGGAGCTCTCTATGATATTGCCCAGGATGTCGATCCCCTTCACGTCATCTAGGACGATCTTTTTATGGTTCGCCTACAAAATATCAAATTAGATGTGTATTTCCGGACTCAGGGAGCTCCACTCACATCCAAAACGTAGCCCTGATGGATGGCCTCATAGATGCGTTCGCGCCAACGTTTCATGTCGTCGATTCCCACTCTCAACTGGTTGATGGGCCGGTCGACGTCACTCAGCCGGGTGTTGTCAAAACGTGGAGGAAACGCCCTGCTGGCAACCAAGGAGTCCATCTTGGGGAAGTAGCCCTCGGCAATGGGCTCCTCCAGGTTGTTGAACGGCTGCACACGGGCCATGTGGTTGCACAGCCTCTCGGCATTGTAGCGGGCAATGATCTGCTGGTGCATGTAGTAGAACAGCTCGCCACGACGATCCTTGTCCACGATGCTGCGGTCGGGAGCCGTGTTGGGATAGACCAGATGCCAGTGCCAGTGGTGCAGGTTGACGCCCAGGTCCTCGCGGAAGTACCACAGCCGGTGCTCCACGTCAAGATCGGAGGCGGTGTACTTGACCGAACTATGGACGGGCAGGCGGGCAGCGGACCGCTCTACCACAAAGGACTCCTCGCGCATAGTGCGCAGCATCTGCGAGTCGATGAACCGATCCGGGAAGATCTGCGCGAAGGCGGGCAGACCCAGGTCCTTGGTGTCCGATCGATGGAGCATGGCCACCGACAAGGCATAGTTGAAGAGCACCGGGTTGACACGATCTCTGGCGTACACCGCCACGCTCTGCAGCTCATCCACGGTGGGCATTTTGATGAAGACATCGATCAGGTGGCAGGCCATCTGGCGGTGGGACTCCAGGAAGAGCGAGAACTGCTCCGAACGGCCCAGTCTCATGGAGCAGCTGAGATCCGGGATGGGGATCTCCTTAACCAGGACATTCTTCTCGAACCCGCCGCTGACGCGTCGCTGGACCTTCTTGCACATCTTGTTGTAGCGATCGGTCACGTAGGAGGCGGGCACATCGAACACGGTGCCATTGCCTCCCTTGTCCATGAACACGGGCTCCGTGGGATGGTCGAACAGCAGGAGGAGATTCTTCTTGTCGGCCATTTTCAGTGGATTCGAGTTTTTGAGGACCTTTTGCGAGCAGTAGCGGGTTTCTAACTGTGACTCCCAATCGAACTATCAGCTCTTTTTATACCCAACATCTGAGAACTGAAACCAAAAGTTCGTCAACCCCCCAAAAAATGTAAACAATATTACTAATACGTGGAATATGGATATTACTATACTGAAACAAACTTAATAGAATAAGCATTGAATCACAGAATCCTGAAAAATAAGTCATATATCGATATGATGATGCTGATTCATTCTACATACATAGTTGGTTGAAAACGGTAGGTTAATGAACAATGTATTTGTAAGTTTCAGAATTTAAAGGTACAAATAAGTTAAGAACTCAAAACAAAACGAATCCTAATTCATCTGTTTGTACATACTGAATAAATATATACTTACATTTTAGAATATCATTTGTTGTTTATTCCTAAAATAAGAGTAATTATGGATTCTCATAAATTGCATTAAGTTAAATACGTTTAACTCCAATGTTGTCAATTGTTTCCAGTGCACTACAAAATTAAGCTTATTTAGCAAACAGTATTTTTCAGCTAAGCACCATCGGTCACACTCACTCTTGGAGAAGCAGGGGAACGTAAACAAATGGAGCACGAGGTGGCTGTTCCAGGAGGAGATTCCTCGCCGGAGGAAGTCATTTGCAGTTCGCAACTGAAGCCCTCCAACAACACGGCCATTAAGTGCCTCAAGTGCGACAAGGTGTACATATTTCCGTCCGACAAAGACGACTGCCTGGCGCACCTGTATCTGGAGCACCGACTGGTCATCGCCGATGTGGAGGATGTAGCGCTTTTGGAGGACTACCTCCAGTACTGGGAGAAGGAGTTTCAGAGTGGGAAAATCACTTACCCAGCTGCGACTTTTTAATCATTTTCCCCAATTTCAGCACACGAATTCGAGCAATATTGCACAACAATGTTCTTGGATCAACTGCCCGATGGCAAGTATGCCAAAAACGAGAAGTACTACCTGCTGTGTGATATCCTGCCCCAGGACTACGAGCTGCGGCGAAGGTTAAAAGAAAGGCGCCTAAGTGAAGCTTTGGAGCGACATCAGTTCGAACTAACTGACCGCAACTTCTCCAAGGAGTGCCTCTTCTGCAGAACCACAATCAAGGGTTTGAGGGCGGACTACCTCGACCACCTGTTTGATAAGCACTTTCTTTTGGTGGGCAAGCCCGAGAAGCTTGTGTACGTGGACGATCTGCTGGATCACCTGGAGCAGAACCTGAATCGGTTGATGTGCCTCTACTGCGAGAAGATCTTCAGGGATCGGCCTACGCTCAAAGAACACATGCGCAAGAAGGGCCACAAGCGTATCAATCCCAACAGAAGGGAGTATGACAAGTACTTTCTTATCAACTACAATCGCGGACCTACGGCCCCAACACCTAGGAAACAGCACCACCAAAAACGAAGACGGGAAACCGCATCCGTGTCCACAGTCGCTGATCTTGAAACCGGCAGCGTGGACTTCGACAAACACTTTGCCCGCCCGGATTCTGATGGCGAACAAGATTCGGACTGGTCGGATTGGGCGGCAGATGGTGAGCCGAGCTCCATTAAGTGCCTGTACTGCCATCATCTCGGTGACAACTTCGCCGTTCTCAAGGAACACATGCAGGATGTCCACCGCTTGGATTTCGAAAAGGCCACAAGCTCCCTCAACTTCTATCAACGCGTCAAGGTGGTTAACTACCTGCGCCGACAAATGTGCCTGCTGCGCTGCGTGACCTGTGACCTGCAGTTCGACGAGGAGCAGTTGCTCGTGGAGCACATGACACAAGAGTCGCACCATGGGATCGGCGAGAAGGAGAGCTGGGACAAGCCGGAGTTCTTCTTTCCGTACATCGAGAACGATGGTCTGTTGTGTGTACTGGATGACTCTGGAGGCGATGGCCCAGAGGTCGATACGGTGCGAATCATCTCGGAGGACAGTCTGGCGCAGATCAACAAGGACGCGGAGCGGTTGTCCCTCGAGACTTTTAAGCTGTAATTTGTTAGTTCAGAAAGTGCGATTTTTGTATTGTAAAGTTTACGTTTAGAGGAAACTAAGTAAATAGCAATGGAAATATGAGTGTTTATTTTATTTGTTATGGATGTACCAAAACCATGGCTTAATTTATTTATGTAGAAGTGCTACTATATATAAAAATAATATTTATATTCCGTATAAGGGTTAATTAGCAAGTACAAGAACCACGTTTAGCAAGTGCACTCGCCGTTTCGCTACGAAGCCCCGCTAGCGTTGCCACCTTTTCGTTGGACATCGATTGTTTTGCAGACTGACATCATTCCCATCGAACCGAACAAAATAAAGAGAAATTAGCCGAAAAATGGAGGCACTGGACATTCTGGAGAAGCGCATCGATGCCCTGACGCGAGTCCTGGGTCCCGGTCAGGATTCTGAGGTGGGCGAGGGAGTGGTCGACGCCCTGTGCTCAGCACATGCCCTACTGGGCGAAGCAACCACTGGAAGTGCTGCACTGCAGCAGTGCGTGAAGAGATCCGATGAACTGGAGAAGTACCTGGACCCCAACTACCTGGAGGAGCACCAGCAGGTTCGCTCCAAGGAGGTCTACCTGCACGCTGTGGCCCCCGAACTGCACACCCAGGCCGAGCAGCTGGAGAGGATTAAACAGCTAGAACCGGCCTTGGGGGCGGAGTACTTCCGCAGCATTCCCGCCGAGTGCCTGGAGCAGCTAAAGGGCATCACCCAGAACAACGGAGAGTACGCCCAGCAGAGCGAACTCATCGAAGAGAGTCTGGTCTTGGCCATGAAGCGGTACGGCGAGATCCAGGCGGGACTCCTGAACTCCCTGGATGCGATGAGCGAACGGTTGGACCAGGTGGAGGAGCGCATGGAGCAGAGGAAACGGGCCGAGCTCAACAAGGATGTGCCGCCCAAAGATTGATAGGATATCGATCCAAAGACTGCTGAAAGTATTTTCTACGACCCCGTTTCCAAATCCTTTCCTATGCGAATCTGGTTCCACTTAAGCTGAAGGTATCAATCATCCACGGAATGGAAGTAACCTAAGTGAAATCGTAGCTAGCACAATCCCGATTTGATTGTTCATAGAATCCGGGATTTTAGATATTCTAACCACTCCAACAAAAAGTGGCTAATGATGCTCTTTCAATTGTAAGTTTCATTTTTAAACATTATTTAATGATAGCACAATAAACTATTTTACAAAACTAATGAAATCTGATAAAATCTTGTGATTCCGTTTTTCAAATGTTCCTAATTTTGTATGATTGATGATCTAGCACACTTCCAATTTAAAATATATTCAAGATTATAATTTTCAGAATATTTATTATCTATACAATGTATACAATACGATGTGACACTTATAAAGGGGAAATAGTTACAAAATAATAATTTACCCGCGGAAACGCTCTTTCAACAGTAAATTTCCATGTTTAAAGTTATTATTGTCATAACAATAAGAAACTTCACCACAATTAAAAGTAGTTGGGGCTCAGGCTGAATCCAAAGGAAATCCTCTTTACCAACATACAAGGCACAGTCTTGACTTTTTTCTTCCCAAGAACGGAGTCCGGTGCTCCTAGAATCGGAGCTCGTTTCTAACTATCCTTTCGTATACGGCTGGAGTGAGTGGAGCATACACGCCATCCGGCTGTGCGTAGAAGAGTTCATCCTCGATAAACTCCGGATTGAAGCCCTGCTGCTGCAGCTCCACCTTGCGCAGCTTGAAGGTGCCCGTCAGGTCGATTCTTCGCAGGAATCTGAGGAACTGCGGCCTCGCGTAGTTGGGCAGGGACTTGGTTAGTTCCTCGCCGAGCTCGATGACCTTGACCTCTCGCGTGGGATCGTAGATGGCTGCCATTCCTGCTCTTCCCTCAGTGTTGGGTATGCTTACTCCGTACACAATCACATCCTTGTAGCCAGCCAGATTGCTCAGCTGCGCCTCCACCTCGCTGGTGGACACATTCTCACCCTTCCAGCGGAAGGTGTCGCCGGTGCGATCCTTGAAGTACAAATAGCCCCGCTCATCGGCCACCAGCAGATCGCCCGAAATGAAGGCCATGTCGCCCTTGGAGAAGACATCGTGGACCACCTTCTTGGAGGAGGCCTTCTGGTCAACATAGCCGAGGAACTCCCGGCAGGGATTTCCCCTCACAATCTTTCCAACGAACACGCCTGGTTCATCCACCCCACATCTCTCGCAGAGGCCTTCGCTGTTCCTCAAAGGTTCTCCCGTATGTGGATCTGCTTTTATGATCGATATTGGGTAGATCTGAGGCAATATACGGGATATAAATCCAATGGCTCCCACGGTGCTGTCATTGTTCATGATGTTGGCATTGCCTTCAGTGGCTCCGTAGAACTCGCCCACTTTTCGGATCCCGAAACGCTCCACGAACTGCGGCCAAATCTGTGGACGCAATCCATTGCCAAACACCATTCGCACTTGGTGGTTCCGATCGTGAGGAGCCGATGGCGTGGCCAGGATATAGCGCGCCATCTCCCCAATGTACTGTCCCACCTGGCAGAAAAATTAGGAGCATTAATACAACATACTAGATGACCCGATAGGTAATTACCGTGCATTGGAAGCGGGCGCAGTCCGAAAAATAGCCTGAGGCGCTGAATTTCTTCCTTATGACCACGGTGGAGCCGAATAGCAAGGCCTGACCCATGCTCATCACTCCGCCAGCGGTGTGATACAGGGGTAAGGGTGTGTAGAACACATCCTGATCCTTGAAGCCAAGCGTGTAGTGAATGCCTGCAGCTATGAAAAAGTACCTGAAAGCCACGGAATCGTTTTACAGGAGGAACTTACTGCAGATAGTGGCAAATCTTACCGAGAATGCGTGATGACGGCTGCCTTGGGCAAGCCCGTGGTCCCGGAGGTGTATATGTAGACCAACTTATCGTGATGATCCGCCCGAGAAGCCCCGGCGGCCACCTTATCCTTGGCCGCCGTCTCCAGAAGGCCGTTCAACTGCTGGGCCAATCCCTGGCTGAGGCCCTCGGAAGCCACCACCTCCTGGTTGGACTCGTCGTTGAACTGATACAGTCCCACGTGGGCGGGCAGATCCTTGGCAATATCCATCACGGCCGACCGAAAACTGGCGCCGTAAATGAGCGCCGTGCACTGGCCCACCGTAATGCTGTGCTGCAGAGAGGCTCCCCGGAGATTCGTGTTGATCAGGGGCGTGATCACACCGATCTTGGATAGACCAAGCCAAGTGGCCACGAATTCAGCGCGATTTTCGAGCAGCAGACCCACCACGTCGCCCTTTTTGTAGCCGTGGCTGTGGAACACATTGGCCACTCGGTTCGAGTGCTCGTTCACCTGCCGGAATGTCCACTGCTGGGACTCACTGACGATGGCCAACTTATCTGGCTGCCGGGCCACACTCGCCTCGAAGATGTCTCCGATGTTCAGGTTCTTCCGCTCCTGGCGCTTGACGAAGAGTAGCACACGGATGTAGGCGAAAAGGGCTCTAAGGAAACGTGTATTTAAAACTACGAAATTGAATCTGGAATCCCTATAACTTACACAGTATCTCTGGGAGTGGTAACTGCTGCAATGTAGAACCAGCGCCATCCTGGACGCACCAGTAGTGCGGATATCAAGGTGGCATATAGGGTGGCCACTCCGTACCAAGGCCCTTGGTAATAGAGGATCAGACCGGAAACAGCCGTCATGACAGGTGCTAGGATGAACTGCAGATAGCGCCGGAAGTTGGATTGGGCAGGTGGCTTTGAGTTTTTCGGATCATCAATGGAAATGGATACCTGCAAAATCACACAAATATTTAGTATACTTTCTAGCTAGCACTAAGATGTAAATGTGAGTAATGCCAATTGCGAGGCGCAGAACACCGACTGCATCACTCATACGCCGCGTAAGCAATCAGAAGCGACACGGGTCTTAGATAGCAAATAGAATATCCCCTCAGCCTGACACCTCCAGATGAAGTTTATTCAAAGCTTTTCCTGATCTTCAGCTAATTGCTTGTTGTTTAATTTGCACTCTAGCCACAGCAGTTCCATAACCTATTCCGCATCAATCAATTAGCACTTTATTTAAGCAATTTGCAAACAAACAAACCAAAACAGTGAAAAGCAAACACACAGAAAATATATAGAGTGGTATGTGGATAAACAAGATCTAGTGGCCAAAGAGGTGACCATTCCGGCCGGATGACAGTTCTCGGAAGTGCATCAAAGCCTTCTTCTCGGCATCGGAGGCCAATCGGTTCGATAATCTGACCAGAACGCATATGGTCAGCGCCGAGATGAGTCCCAGCATAAAGAACACAACCTAATCATGTAGTGCGATATAGTACGTTCTGTATTCTTCTGGGTGCGTGTGTGGTCTTCCGATTACCTTGTGCCAAATGGTCAGTCGTTGCTGGGTGGTTTTCAGACCGCCCTCCTCCACCAACGGGCTATCGTCGCTGCCCGTCATCATGGTATTCAAATCTTTGCTCAACTCTGTGGACCCTTGGCGCTTGAATGGTTCGGCTGTCTATATGTTTATTTTCGGGGCTTATTTATTTTGTATTAAGCTGACAGTTGGTTCGCAGAAGTAATGTAATGTGACGGCTTCAGATGTAAACGAAAAGAATCGATTTCAAAGGGGGTTCCCCAAGTTAATTCAGGTTGTTCCTATAACTCAAGAAAGGTTTTGAGGAATCTCGTTGCCTAAAGAAACGCTGATTAAAATACACCTAGCGTGCATTAAAACCAGATCTTTTAACTCGCTTCCCTCCTCAAACGCCGTTTATTTCCATAACCTCCATTAACAGCCATTTGAAGTCACCCTGATCTTGACATTCAAATAGTTTCTGACCAGCTTCACTGAAAGACATAGTTTAGGTTACAATAATCTTGTATATAAAACCTGATTATGAGCTTTATCCGCACAGATGACCGATCGCATAATACTCGAGACCCAGACCTAGTCCCGGTTAAATCAGCGGGCCAAAAGTAAACTGGTTTCGGCTTTCAGCGGTTTTCGTGGATGTTTTTGTTTTCGATGGCAACGTGTGTATTATATTGTTGTCAGATAAGGTTCAGAGGGGAGGGGCAGGGCCGGGGGATCCACCCATGGAACAACAAAGCGAATCAAGCGAAACTCCAAAAATATGTATGTTGACCACGCTCGTGCGAGTAGATGGGTACGAGTATATGTTATTTACCTGTGGGGGGTTCAAGGCCGTCGAACTTGGGGCGGGCGCAGCTCCACCACTATTCGCAGCATCAGCACCACCAGTGGTGGCCACAGCACCACCATCAACCACGCCAGCGGTGCACATTCTATTGGTTTCGGACTCAACAGCACATCTACGGAGGCTGCGATCTGGTGTTGTTCGGCTGCCGAGCTTGGTTTGGTCTTCAATTACCTGCGCCGTTTAGGTGGTTTTTATTGAGTTTTCTGGGCGGTGCACATAGAAAAAAACATTTCAGAATTTAATTGAGTGTTGAATGTGTTTTATGCATAATACGTTCAAAAGGTATAGCACGAAATCTATAAAAAACCTCGCTTAATATAAGCTACTTGTATAGGCGTACTTTTACGAACACTCAGGAAAACTGTTTATTTGGTATTAATGTTTTTGAGAACCCTGGAGTTTTAATCCCACATAGGAACGCTATAGGCTTGCTGTCCGTGAATGCTTTACGTGTTTGTATACAAATATCTTACTTATCTAACATGAGATACGTGTGCATTTTACTAATTTTCCGAGCTGTTTTTCTCAGTGCACTTTCGCAGCGAAATGATGGGTAATTAGGCGACTTGCAGCAGTCGGAAGGGGCAGACAAAAGACAAAAAGAGAAAAGGTGAAAAAGCTGAGAAAAAGCGAGATAACGACGTGGGGAATTCGCAATTGTAGTGCACAGGTGACACCAGCAGAAAAGATGGAGAAAAATTGCCTTTTTTGACGCGGCTCGAATGATGCTGCGACGTTTTTGAGTTCAGCTATTCGTGGTCGGACTCAAGGTGAGTTTTGGGGTCCGTTGCGGTTGTTTATGCGCGGCGAATGGCAAAAGCCAAGTTGAGCGGAGCTACAGGTGGCCCATAAAAGCGTTAATGTATGGTAAACTCACTTAATGGAAGAGGCCATTAAAGTGAGTTTAGTGTTGAGGAAGTTAGTCTCGGCTTGGAGGATAGAATTAAATGGGAAATGGGCATTTGTTTGCTTGAAAGGAGGTTACAAATAGT